TCAAAGTGTCCTTGCAAGTCCAAAAATAAATCCGAAAAATGTTTTGGGTGAAATGCAATTTACAGAAATAAGTTTTGCGATTTTTCTTCTGTATTTGGCAGTATTTGACATGTAGATTACGTCTGTTAATTGAATAAGGCTGGAATATAAATGTACGTGACTCTCATATCAACCCAGCGTCTACTTAATTCATACCTATTATTCTACGATACATAAAGAGAAAAAAGAAAAACAGCAAATGAAAAAAAAACAAAACATAACAAACTATTCTTTTATATTTTCACTTCGCTGCACAGCAAGTCTGGTGGCACGCAATGAAAAATCTGGAATGATACATTTGAAAACAAAAATCTGGTATCACCTTCCTTCGTGGTATACTTACTGGGGCTAAACTAAGGGCCAGTCACGAAGATGATAAACTTGTTGATTAGGTCGATCGAAGAATTTCAAATCGATATTTTTAATGATATAATAAGCTCAGTTATGCACGCACTCTGATTGGTTCTCACTTATGATCTATTGGAGGACAGACGTATAGATGACGTCATCATTACTTGAGGGGACTCAAGCGGCCTCAACTGTAAGTACTTTTTAGAAGTTCTAGGATATTATCCTAGCATTCCTAACATTCTGAGCTGCACGAGAGTGTCAAAATCTGCACGTATGTCAGAAATGTCACTAGACCTAAAGTACGCCAGATGAGGGCTAATTAATATGAGAAGATAAATGAATTAATGTCTGATATCAAAATGTCACCAGCTACTGCTTTTGTTTCACACGCAATCAATAGTGCCTTTATTCCTCGGCCGGTTCCTTTGCGTTACATTGTAGATTATAAAGAGAAATATATCCACACGATTTATTCGCCCTCATCTGGCGTACTTTAGGTCTAGTGACATTTCTGTGACATACGCACGGATTTTGACACTCTCGCGCAGCTCGGAATGTTAGGAATGCTAGAATAACATTCTAGCATTTATTATTTATTTTGCACAAGATCATCATTATAACAACACTACATACTGCAACGCAATTAATATAATCCTGAGCGGGAAGTCTCAGAAGCCTTTTTAGGCTTATCTAGGAGATCCCCTTTACTACCTGATAAGACAAGTCTGGCGGTCAATGATTACAGATCTTATACATTGATTTACAGATTTGTGAGTAAGTTACATTGGTATTGAATATATTACTATAAACTATTCGTTAGAATATAATTTTTTAAGTTTCGCTTAAAAGTCGATTTATACTGGATATTTTTTAGATCACTTGGTAAGCTGTTGTATACATCAACTCCTTTAAAATTAATGCTTAATTTCCTGAGGTTTGTTTTGACACAAGGATTGTGTAATTTTTCGTTTGAACGAGTGTTGTGGTTGTGAACTTCTTCATTAGTCCTAAAAATATTTTTCGATGAGATAGGTAATTGATTATTTGAAAATTTTTTCATTAAGATAGCAATAGTGTAATAATTAACTTGATAAACATTCAGTATCTTCAGATTATCAAATAATGGTTTTGAGCTGTGATTGTATTCTTTGAAGGTTATTATTCGTACAAGTTTCTTTTGCAGTTTGTATATTTTCTCGAGATGAGTCTGATATGCATTAGCCCATACAACATTGCCATAAAAAATATAGGGGTAGATCAGGGCATAGTAAATTGATTTCAGTAACGATCTAGTTACAAAATGCCGCGCTTTACATAATATACCTGTTAGCCTTGATATTTTGTTTGCAACGAAATTAATGTGTTCTTTCCACTTCAGTTGGTCGTCAACTATTGTTCCAAGAAATTTTGTGCTTTTTACTTGAGTAATATAATGATCTTTGATTTTTATATTTAGTTGTTTAGTTATTTTTTTGCTTGATGATTTAAACAGCATGAAATTTGTTTTTGTAATATTAAGTGATAATTTGTTTAGTTGTTGCCACGTATTGATTTTAATTAGTTCTTCATTCATTTTATCTATCAGCGTGTCTAGATTTTTATGAGACATCAACAAATTTGTATCATCTGCAAAGAAAATGAAGGATAATTTTTTTTGAACTATTGCAGATATCATTTATATAAATTAAAAACAGTAGAGGACCTAGAACTGATCCTTGGGGAACTCCACACGTTATTTCTTGTTTCTCTGATATTTCATTGATATATCTGACGCACTGATATCTCTGTGTTACATAATTCTTAAACCATTCTAATGCAATTCCTCTAATGCCATAGAATTCCAGCTTTTGAAGTAGCAGGCTATGATCATCTGTATCAAAGGCCTTAGACAAATCCAGAAATACCCCGATGGCAAATTCTTTGTTATCTAAAGCAGTCGTTATTTTATTGATCAGGTCAATAAGTGCGAAATTTGTTGAGTGATTTCTCCTGAATCCAAACTGATGTTCACTAAGAAGGCATATTTTGTTTAAGTGATTCAATAATCTTTTGTACATCATTTTTTCTAATATTTTAGAGAAGCAAGGTAATAAAGAAATAGGTCTGTAGTTTTTGAATTCACAACTGTCCCCTGATTTGTATACAGGAATAACAATATTAATTGATGTTTTAAAGTCTACAGGTAGTTTGCCTGTACTGAATGTGAGATTTATAATATGTGATAATGGTTCACTCAATTCTGTTGCTAACTGTTTCACTTCTTTGGGTATGGTGTTATAGTGTCCACAGCTTTTTGATGGGTCAAGATTTTCTAGTTCTTTCTTAATTTCTCGTTCACAGACAGGTGTCAAAAACATTGAATCCATGTAGTGTCCCTTCAAGTAACTAATGAATGACAAGTTGGTAGCAGTTATTTTCTTTGCAAGGTTAGCTCCGACATTAACAAAATATTCATTGAATCGATTAACAATTTCCCTTTTTTCAGTAATACGCTCATTATCTTTTTTAAATTCTGTAGAGCTAACAGTATCCTTCTTTTTTCTACTGATTACTTCATTTACTAATTTCCATGTCTGTTTTATATCACTTTTAGCAGTGTCAAATTTTTGCTCATAATATCTCATTTTCAGAATATTTTTTAACTTGTTCAGACGGTTGCGATAATATTTGTATTTTGCTTTTAACTCTTCATTTTCATTGTTTAAATTTCTAAAAAGTACCTACAGTTGAGGCCGCTTGCGTCCCCTCATGAAACTTTTTAAGTTTTTTATTACATAAAACAAATAGATTCCAAGTTGCCGTGCTTCTGTTCAGTAATAGATCACAGAGGATGTCAAAATGTGGTAAGAACATCAGTGACACACTCAACCGCGCCTCGTGTGCCACTTTTTTGTTCTTACCACATTTTGACATCCTCTGTGATCTATTACTGAATAGACGCACGGCAACTTGGAATCTATTTGCTAAGTAAATCTGTGGGCGTTGCGTCGTTGTGTGATCTCCCATCCATCCAATGTGCTTTTTCATTTATTTCATGCCATTTCGGATCTTGATGAAAGTTAATGTCTGATGACAATAGTTTATTGAAGTGTCACCTTAGGCAAATAATACAGTCAGTTAATGGCTGTTTTAAATTCGTAATATTCATAAAAACCAACGCTCATTTCATGGCATGTCGGATCCTAATGATTTTATATTTTCACTTCGCTGCACAGCAAGTCTGGCGAGACCCAATGAAACATCTGGAATGAAACATTTGAAAAAAAAAAAAAAAGAAAAAAATTGTATCCACCTTCCTTCATGGTATAGTTACTGGGGTTAAACTAAAAGGCAGTCACACAGTTGATAATTAACTTTCTTAGATGAAAGAAATAACGCCAGTCACAGGAAGTACATTTTTAGTTCAGTTCTTTGTCTGAAAAATTTCCACTTCGCTACTCTTTGACAAAGCGCTGTCTTGGGTGCTCTTAAAATATCAAAGTGTCCTTGCAAGTCCAAAAATAAATCCGAAATATGTTTTGGGTGAAATGCAATTTACAGAAATAAATTTGGCGATTTTTCTTCTGTATTTGGCAGTATTTGACATGTAGATTACGTATGTTAATTGAATAAGGCTGGAATATAAATGTACGTGACTCTCATATCAACCCAGCGTCTACTTAATTCATACCTATTATTCTACGCTACATAAAGAGAAAAAAAAAAGCAAATGAAAAAAAACAAAACAAAACAAACTATTCTTTTATATTTTCACTTCGCTGCACAGCAAGTCTGGTACCACGCAATGAAAAATCTGGAATGATACATTTGAAAACAAAAAACTGGTATCACCTTCCTTCATGGTATACTTATTGGGGCTAAACTAAGGGGTATTCAGGGAGTTGGTAAACTTGTTACTTGAGTCGATCCAAGAGTTTCAAATCGATATTTTTAATGATATAATAAGCTCAGTTATGCTGATTGGTTCTCACTTATGATCTATTGGAGGACAGACGTATAGATGACGTTATCATTAAAACTTTTTAAAATTTTTTATTATATAAAACAAATAGATTCTAAATTGCCGTGCGTCTGTTCAGCAATAGATCACATAGGATGTCAAAATGCGGTAAGAACATCAGTGACACACTCGACCGCGCCTCGTGTGCCACTTTTTTGTTCTTACCACATTTTGACGTCATCTGTGATCTATTCCAGTCGCAGGAAGTACATTTTTAGTTCAGTTCTTTGTCTAAAAAATTTTCACTTCGCTACTCTTTGACAAAGCGCTGTCTTGGGTTCTTTCAAATGTCAAAGTGTCCTTGCAAGTCCAAAAATAAGTCGGAAAAATGTTTTGGGTGAAATGCAATTTACAGAAATGAGTTTGACGATTTTTCTTCTGTATTTGGCAGTATTTGACATGTAGATTACGTCTGCTATATGAATAAGGCTGGAATACAAATGTACGTGACTCTCAACCCAGGCGTATACTTAATTCATACCTATTATTCTACGCTACATAAAGAGAAAAAAAAATGAAGACTATAGTTCATTGAAGTGTCACCTTAGGGAAAAAAATACAGTCAGTTATTCGTTTTTTTTTAAATCCGCAATATTCATAAAAACCAACGCTACCATTTACTTACCACAGTTGTTATTCCACCTCCCAGGGTGTAAACAGCTTCTGGTCAGTTCATAGCTCCGATCGAAGGTGAGTGGGCCCGTTTATTGACTTCTAGGAATTGATGTATAAAGTATTTTCATTAATGTTTGTGTTTTGTAAATTGCAACTTTCATGAATCATTTTTCCAGTTATAACTAAATCTACCTGAGTTTATTTTGCTGTAAATAGGTTGATTCATTCGATGCGGTTGTAGATATGACTGGGTGTAGAAGATGTTAAAATTCCACTGACCTTTTTGGCAGCTGAAGTCTAAAATTTCTTGATAACGTATATCTTACGGACAGCCAGTGAGACGCTTTTCCAATGTTTCACAGGGCCTTGACCTTCGAATTCTGCCAAACACAAAAAAAAGCATATGACAGCACACTCAGAAAAATTGAATTTGGGCTATGTTGCGCGTGATGAAATCAAAATTTAAAACAAAAATATGTACATTTTTTGTAACGTCTTTTTTCCATAAATTCTTCGCGTGAATTTTCCCCGCTTCATCGCTTGGTTTGAATCGATCGAAGCTGGCAGGTTGCAATTTTAATTTCAATTTGAGTCATTTAAAGGGCTTGTAGAACAGTTGTTTCAATTGCACATTTTTCTTTTTCAATCATCTGTATTTCTTTTCATTTAAAAAGACATAAGAGAACTAAATAGTTTATAGGTAAAAATTCACAAAGTAAGACGAGTCTTTTCAAAATCATTCAATTGCTCCCTGTAACACCACCCTTGGTCGTAGACATTCACAAATGATGCCATGCTTAATAGGCTATTTCCGAGTTGCCTTTTGCCTCCGTTTAAAAACGAGTCCAAGTGCGAAACCATTCAAATGAAAATGGGTTTGATTTACATGAAAACGAGCATGGGATCGAGTGAAACGTATTATCATTTGAATGGTGCACGTAGACTCGTCTTGAAACAGAGGCAAAAGGCTAACATGGTTTTGCCTTGCTATTTTCCACTTCACCACACACGAATAATAAGCCCCTGCTAATTTAACTTGATGTCGCCACCAGTCCAATATCAATAATTGCCACCTGAGAGCTAAACCAAAATATGAAGCTGTGATTTATAAAGTGGACCGATAGTTCACTATATATAGACATACAGTTTGTATTTGACCTATAAAATTTCTTTGCCTGAAAAATAGGTTCATTGACTGCCAAGAAACAGCAGGCTTCAAGTCCTGAGACAACAAAGGCCACATACAGACAGTGAGCAATTTCAGTGTCAGTTATGAACGCGAATATTTTGGTTGGTATAGCATTCATAGTCGCCTGCTATGGTGCAGTTTCGAGGTAAATTTTCTTTCGAGTAGTCAAAATATTCCTTGTTTTAGTAGAGAGCTTCCAACACGTCATTTTGACAACTAACTCTTCGATTTATAAAACAAGTACTAATTTTTTAATCTTATCAATCTGATCACTTTTTTTGTAATTCTATTAAAATTAATTCTGAAATAGCTATTTGTAAATAAATATATTCAAATTAGAATAACTGCTTGCTTGAAACCATAGGCGCACGGATTTCAAATATAGGGGGCGGAGACCTCATTAAATTAAGATCTTAAGAATAAGGACGCCGACAACAGCGAGCTTGAAAACAAATTTGTAGAAGCCATGGTTAAAAGGAAACTTAAAAGCCCTATTTCGGGGATGCATTGCTCGAGGACATCAAACCCACATTTACTTGTTTGTGTTGTAACAGCTTTGTTTCTTGGTAGAACTTGTATTGGAATAACAGGATTAACCTACGACAAACGTTCCAGATCGAGCATGTGAAGAAATTCTGCATGTCTGAGCCCATTTCCCACATGTCTGATCTCAACTGCCACGCAGAATTTATTAGCAAAATAGAAACCTTTGCGGTGATTTGCACGGCAAAGCGACAAGTGGTAAAACGACAAGTTAACAAATTGGCAGTCACGAAGCTCGGCACCTTTTCAGTATTATGCGTTATTGAGATTTTTCGCTTATTTTGTTTTATTCATTTCATTTATTTATTGTTTTCATTTCTTTCTGTTTCCCACCTCATACGCCACTGCTCAAAATTCATCTTACAATAATTTTGGTACTCCCATACACTCTTTTTTTTTTTTCTTTTTTTATAAGAACGTCTACTGTTGGAGCTGAGGCTGGACGTTCTTTTTTTGCAATTTGAGGCTGAAAACGTTCTTAAGATGTTCTTGAATTTGCATGATATACAATATTTAATAAATCAATGTGGATGTGACCAGAGAAACCTTTCAACTACCTTGATACTACTTTGTATCACTTGATGGCATTAATGGTGTGGATTTAAGTTATTTTGGAACAGTTATAAATAAGAACTGCTGATTATTACAAACCGAGAGATGTGCCTCATGAAGTAAGAAAACCACTGTTAATGTTATACAAAACGTACCCTTAAGTATTTCGGTGAGCTTCCTTTTTTTGTTATCTTTATTTTATGCTTTTCATTTAATATACAGATGAGAAAAATAACGTTCTTATTCGACCCTCAGCATCAGGAATGTTCTCAATACGTTCTTAAAAGTCTGGTTAATCTCAGCCTTTCCGTTCTAATAAAAAAAAGGCTCTTATAAAAAGAGTATAATACGAGATATTTTTTATTAAATTTTCCTAGTTTGTCGTCTGGCCAAGGCGATAGGCGTCGCGCGGTCAAGAAAGTACCAATGAAGGACATATCAGATAAAGACTTGGAATGGATTCAAAAAGTGTAAGTAACACATCAAGCCTGGCGAGGGAAAACGTGAATTTAGTGTTACTGAAAACAAGTTTTTAAACACACATAATTCTCAATTACAAATCGGCAAAACACGAATAAACATAAACAACCAGCGTATACTAGAGAAGAAAATATAAATATATTTTAATCATCACAAACAAAAGTGGGCGGAAAACCAAACATAGCGAAAGAAAAGTAAACAAAAACAAAATAAGCAAAGGCAATTTTTAGCGTTAGAATCATAAGTTATAACCGTATTCCATACACCACTGTTAAATGAACATATTAAAGAAAGAATTAGTTAGTAATTCTAATTTTACTATGAGCATGTCATGATTTTTGTTACAAAGGCATGCCCATTTTGTTTAGAAGGCGCATATGACTTTGTTCGTGTAATTATGCGATAATCAAAGCATTTGTTTGGGAAAATGATTCCACACAATAATTCAAAGATTGCGGACGTGCTCCAGTCTTCCAAACTCTAATACGGGAGTACATAAGCGACAGAACACAAATTCACGACGTGAACACTTCGCTTGAAAAAGTAGAAAATATTCTCATCACAACCGCTAAATAATGTTCAAAAATTAAATTGACTTAAAACAAAAGCGTTTCAAGGCATCTTCAAATAACAGATGGTTTGATAGGGAATGTCTCTTTGAAATACAAAAATTAAGACAATTATCGAACCAAAAATACAGAGATCACATGTTATGAACGCAAATATCTCGTTTGGTATGGTATCAAAGTCGCCTGCTATGGTACAGTTTCAAGGTAAATTTTCTTTCGTATAGTCAAAATATTCCTTGTTTTTAGTAGGTAGCTTCCAACACGTCGTTTTGACAACTAACTCTTCGATTTATAAAACAAGTACTATTTTTTTAATCTTATCAATCTTATCACTTTTTTTGTAATTCTATTTAAACCAGTTTTGGAATAGCCATTTGTAATTAAATATATTCAAATTAGAATAACTGCTTGCTTGAAACCATGGGCGCACGGAATTTGAATATAGGGGGCAGATACCTCATTAAATTAAGATCTTAAGAATAAGGACGCCGACAACAGCGAGCTCGAAAACAAATTTGTAGAAGCCATGGTTAAAAGGAAACTTAAAAGCCCTATTTCGGGGATGCATTGCTCGAGGATATCAAACCCACATTTACTTGTTTGTGTTGTAACAGCTTTGTTTCTTGGTAGAACTTGCATTGGAATTACAGGATTAACCTGCAACAAACGTTCCAGCTCGAGCATGTGATAAAATTCTGCATGTCTAAGCCCATTTCCCACATGTCCGATCTCAACTGCCACGCAGAATTTACAAGCAAAATAGAAACCTTTGTTGTGATTTGCACAGCAAAACGACAAGTGGTAAAATGAGAAGTTAACAAATTGAAAGTCACGAAGCTCGGCACCTTTTCAGTATTACGCACTGTTAAGATTTTTCGTTTATTTTATTTTACTTATTTCATTTAATTATTGTTTTCATTTCTTTCTGTTTCCCGCCTCGTACTGCACTGCTCAAAATTCATCTTCGAATAATTTTGATACTCTCATACACTCTTTTTTTTTTCTTTTTTTTTTTTTTTTTTATAAGAACGTCTACTTTTGGAGCTGAGACTGAGTGTTCTTTTTTTTGCGATTTGAGGCTGAAAACTCGATGTTGTTGTAACCAGGAAACCTATCAACTACCTTGAGAATACTTTGTTTCACTTGATTAATTTAATGGTGTGGATTTAAGTTATTTGGAACAGTTATAAATAAGAACTGCTGATCATTACAAACCGAGAGATGTGCCTTATAAAGTAAGAAAACCACTGTTAACGTTATACAAAACGTACCCTTAAGTATTTCGGTGAGCGTCCTTTTTTGTTACCTTTATTTAATGCTTGTCATTTAATATACAGATGGGTAAAATAACGTTCTTAATCGACCCTCAGCCTGAGGAATGTTCTCAATACGTTCTTAAAATTTTGGTTAATCTCAGCCTTTCCGTTGTAATGAAAAAGGTTCTTATAAAAAAGAGTATAATACACGATCTTCTTCCTTAAATTTTTTCTTAGTTTGCCTTCCGGCCAAGAAGATAAGCGTCGCGCGGTTAAGAACGTACCGAAGAGGGACATGTCAGATATAATCAAGGAATTGATTCACGAAATAGATGAATGGTAAGTAACACATCAGGCCTGGCGAGGCACGACGTGAATTTAGTATTTCTGTAAACAAGTTTTTTAACAAGTATAATTCTCAATTACAAATCGGCAAAACACGTATAAACATAAACAACCAGCGTATACTAGAGAAGAAAATATAAATATATATTAAACAAAAAACAAATTTGTAGAAGCCGTGGTTAAAAGGAAACTTAAAAGGGTCATTTCGGGGATGCATTGCTCGAGGACATCAAACCCAAATTTACTTGTTTGTGTTGTAAGATTAATCTGCAACAAACGTTCCAGCTCGAGCATGTGAAGAAATTTTGCATGTCTGAGCCCATTTCCCACATGTCTGATCTCAACTGCCACGCAGAATTTACAAAAGAGGTTCTTATAAAAAAGAGTATAATACAAGATCTTTTTCATTACTTTTTTCCCAGTTCGCCTTCTGACATGTGTAGCGCGCTCAAGGAAGTACTAATGAACGTCATACCAGTTAAAGACTTGGAAACGATCCAAATAGTGGCTAAATGGTAAGTAACACATCAAGCCTGACGAGGGACGACGAGAATTTAGTATAACTGAAAATAAGTTTTTAAATACATATAACTCTCAATTACAAATCGGCAAAACACGTATAAACATAAACAACCAGCGTATACTAAAGAAGAAATTATAAATATATTTTAATCATCACAAACAATAGTGCACGGAAAACCAAACATAGCGAAAGAAAAATAAACAAAAACAAAATAAGCAAACGCAAAGTTTTAGCGCTAAACTCATAAGTTATAACCGTATTCCATACATCACTGTTAATTGAAGATATTAAAGAAAGAATTAGTAAATAATTCTAATTTTACTATGAGCATTTCATGATTCTCGTTACAAAGGCATGCCCATTTTGTTTAGAAGGTGCATAAAGCACGGACTTTGTTCGTGTAATTATGCGATAATCAAAGCATTTGTTTGGGAAAATGATTCCACACAATAATTCAAAGATTGCAAACATTCTCCAATCCTCCAAACCCTAATACGGGAGTACATAAGCGACAGAACACAAATTCACGACGTGAACACTTCGCTTGAAAAAGTAGAAAATATTCTCATCACAACCGCTAAATAATGTTCAAAAATTAAATTGACTTAAAACAAAAGCGTTTCAGGGCATCTTCAAATAAGAGATGGTTTGATAGGGAATGTCTCTTTGAAATACAAAAATTAAGACAATTATCGAACCAAAAATACAGAGATCACATGTTATGAACGCAAATATCTCGTTTGGTATAGTATTCAAAGTCGCCTGCTATGGTGCAGTTTCAAAGGTAAATTTTCTTTCGTATAGTCAAAATATTCCTTGTTTTTTAGTAGGTAGCTTCCAACACGTCGTTTTGACAACTAACTCTTCGATTTATAAAACAAGTACTATTTTTTTAATCTTATCAATCTTATCACTTTTTTTGTAATTCTATTTAAACCAGTTTTGGAATAGCCATTTGTAATTAAATATATTCAAATTAGAATAACTGCTTGCTTGAAACCATGGGCGCACGGAATTTGAATATAGGGGGCAGATACCTCATTAAATTAAGATCTTAAGAATAAGGACGCCGACAACAGCGAGCTCGAAAACAAATTTGTAGAAGCCATGGTTAAAAGGAAACTTAAAAGCCCTATTTCGGGGATGCATTGCTCGAGGATATCAAACCCACATTTACTTGTTTGTGTTGTAACAGCTTTGTTTCTTGGTAGAACTTGGAATTACAGGATTAACCTGCGACAAACGTTCCAGCTTGAGCATGTGATGAAATTCTGCATGTCTGAGCCCATTTCCCACATGTCCGATCTCAACTGCCACGCAGAATTTACAAGCAAAATAGAAACCTTTGTGGTGATTTGTACAGCAAAACGACAAGTGGTAAAATGAGAAGTTAACAAATTGGAAGTCACGAAGCTCGGCACCTTTTCAGTATTATGCATTGTTCAGATTTTTCGTTTATTTTATTTTATTTACTTCATTTATTTATTGTTTTCATTTCTTTCTGTTTCCCGCCTTGTACGCCACAGCTCAAAACTCATCTTACCATAATTTTGATACTCTCATACATTTTTTTTTAATCATTTTTTAAATTTTTTTTTTTTATAAGAACGTCTACTTTTGGAATTGAGACTGAACGTTCTTTGAGGCTAAAAAAATTCTTAAGATGTTCTTAAATTTGCATGGTATACAGTATTTAATAAATCAATGTGGATGTGACCAGAGAAACCTATCAACTACCTTCATAATACTTTGTATCACTTGATGACTTTAATGATGTGGATTTAAGTTATTTTGGAACAGTTATAAATAAAAACTGCTGATTATCACAAACCGAGAGATGTGCCTCATGAAGTAAGAAAACCACTGTTAATGTTATACAAAACGTACCCTTAAGCATTTCTGTGAGCTTCCTTTTTTTGTTATTTTATTTTATTTTTGCTTGTCATTTAATGTACAGATGAGCAAAATAACGTTCTTATTCGACCCTCAGCCAAGGGAATGTTCTCAATACGTTCTTAAAAGTTTGGTTAATCTCGGCCTTTCCGTTTTAATAAAAAAGGTTCCTATAAAAAAGAGTATAATATAAGATCTTTTTCATTAATTTTTTTCCTAGGTTGTCTTCTAGCAAATGTCTGCTCGACGAAGTACTGAAGCTGGTCATATCAGATAAAGACTTGGAATTGATTCAAAAAGTAGCTAAATGGTAAGTAACACATCAAGCCTGGCTAGGCACGACGTGAATTTATTTCATTTTATTTACTTTATTTGTTTATTGTTTTCATTTCTTTCTGTTTCCCACCTCGTGCGCCACAGCTTAAATATCGTCTTACCACAATTTTGATACTCTCATACTCTCTTTTTTTTTTTTTTTTTATAAGAACGTCTACTTTTGAAGCTTAGGCTGAACGTTCTTTTTTTGCGATTTGAGGCTGAAAATGTTCCTGAGATGTTCTTAAATTTGCATGGTATGCATTATTTAATAAATCAATGTGGATGTGACCAACTACCTTCATAATACTCTGTATCACCAGATGACTTAAATGGTGTGGATTTCAGTTATTTTGGAACAGTTATAAATAAGAACCGCTGATTATTACAAACCGAGAGATGTGCCTCATGAAGTAAGAAAACCACTGTTAGTGTTATACAAAACGTGCCCTTGAGTACTTCGGTGAGCTTCCTTTTATGGTTACCTTGATTTTAATTATGCTTGTCATTTAATATACAGATGAGCAAAATAACGTTCTTAATCGACCCTCAGCCAAGGGAATGTTCTCAATACGTTCTGAATCTCAGCCTTTCCGTTCTAATAAAAAAGTTTCTTATAAAAAAAGAGTATAATACAAGATCTTTTTCATTAATTTTTTCCTAGTTTGTCGTCTGGCCAAGACGATAAGCGTCGCGCGGTCAAGAACGTACCGATGATGGCTATATCAGTTAAAGACTTGGAAAGGATCCAAAACGTGGCTGAATGGTAAGTAACACATCAAGCCTGGTGAGGCACGACGTGAATTTAGTATTACTGAAAACAAGTTTTTAAACACATATAATTCTCAATTACAAATCGGCAAAACACGTATAAACACAAACAACCAGCTTATACTAGAGAAGAAAATATAAATATATTTCAATCATCGCAAACAAAAGTGGGCGGAAAACCAAACATAGCGAAAGAAAAATAAAATATGCAAACGCAAATTTTTAGCGTTAGACTTATAAGTTATAACCTTATTCCATACATCACTGTTAAATGAACATATTGAAGAAATAATCAGTTAATAATTTTGATTTTACTATGAGCATGTCATGATTTTTAAAATCGAATATGCTCCACCATATTATATTATCTAGACCTACCTACAAGAACATCTGAAAGAAGAGTCTAAACTGAACCACGCAGAAGCAATCAAAAACTTATTACTGAACTTGGCAGATACAACCAAATCTCTATAGATTATTGACTCTGCCAAGTTTGTGGATCTAATTTATCAGATCAAAGACGAAATCCATTTCTTTTTCCAGTGTTCCAAATACTCATTAATAAGGTATACTTTTTACAATTAAATACAGACCTTGATTCCAGATATTAGGCAGTTACCTGTCAATCAACAGACCACAGAATTAATGAACTCTACTAATTGTGTTCGTAATTTAGAATTAATTAGATTTATTACATCTTGGTTCTATTTTTAAGACGAACTGTTATCAATGCAATTTGATTTTCGAATACAACTTAGAATAATTGTATAAGCTTTTGCAATACTGTAAAGGTTATAGTCACGCAAATAATCTTTGCTTTTTAAGGCTCGGATTGTCACGGCAATGCAGTGTCTCTCTTCCCCAAGGGAGTAACGGTGGTTGCAACCTCAAGAGGAAAGTGGAACTTGGCATGATGAAATACATATGGAAGTTGAAAGTTAGCCCGTATGGATACGCTCTGTTAAATGCGTCAAGCAAGTGCAAGCTAATTGGTGATCTCATTAATCCCTTCACAAGGTTTTATTTAGAGGGATACCTTCAAACTATCATTTCCGCGAACTTAAGCCACAGAGCTTACAACGCTTTAGGTAATATAATCACCGATAAAGAAATAAGCCACCCCGGCGGCTACCGGATTTTGTCAAAGTTCTTTGAAATGTCTGCGATGTCTGGAGGGGTATGACTAACTTTTTGTTTGTTTGTTTGTTTATTGATTACTACTACTACTAATACTACTACTTCTACTACTACTGGCAACTAGATACACATATGCCTCTATAGTTTGTTGGGTCACTCTTGTCACCCGATTTGTAGATTGGGCTTATAAGGCCTTGACATCAAATATCTAGTATTTTTCCAGACTGTAAAATGAGTTTAAAAAGTTTGATGTAAACAGGCATAAGCGATTCAAGGCTCGCTTTGATCATTTCGTTTCTTATTTTGTCAAAGAAAGGAGATTTCTTATTTTTCAATTTCTTCACTGCTCGACGTATATTTCTTGCTTTCTTATCTCATGATCTAAATAGTTAAATAGTTTTCTAATGACTGTAGCTCAGTATAGACTTCTTGTTGTTGTATGGCAGTTGTCGAGCCATTAGAATGTAAAGATTGAAAGTGTTTTAGCCAAGTTTCTTCCGAGATTGGAGCGGAAGCATTTTGGGCGACAGTATCGTTCATAGATTTCAAACAACTCCAAAACGATGCATTGTCGGGATTCAACGCTACTACCATTACTGCTACTACTACTACTGCTACTACTACTACTACTACTACTACTACTAGTACTAGTTCTACTACTACTACTAGTTCTACTACTACTACTACTACTACTACTACTACTACTACTACTAGTTCTGCTACTACCCCTACTATTTCTACTACTACTACTACTACTACTTGTTCTACTAATACCACTACTACTACTACTACTACTAGTTCTTCTACTACTACTACGACTACTACTTATTCTACTACTACCACTACTGTTACTATTACTACTACTACTACTACTACTAGTATGGTCAGTATAGACGCAGAAAGCTTCTTGGTGTAAGCTTATGGACAAAAAAAATATACAACAGCAGTTATAAACGAAACCTTAGGTAAGCCATACACATACATGTATAGCATATGACCTAGCTTATGCACTGAGTCGCTCGAACTGGCGACTAAGAATTCTTCATTCGTAGAGCAACCCTCTGTGTTTTTATTCATTAAGGTATATAGCAGGCGGCCATCGAAGCACGAAGCCTTCATTGACGAAAAGACTGAGTGGATAAGTGACAGGTTCTTCACTCAACAGCGTCTGGCAGGAGTCAACCCTATGTCACTGAGACGAGTGACTCTCGAACATGGTAAAACTTCCGTTAAGATTGCTGTCGCCAGAAGAACAATTACTATCTTTCAAGTTACAGAAAAACATTAATAACTTTTTTTAGCTACTTTTCAACTTTGGATCGTACTCGATGGGTTCTTCCAAATGCTGGCTCTTTGCCAGCTTTTACACTTTCTTTCAGCGGTAATGATATGGAAAGAAAAATGTAAATAACTGTCATCCATCTTCTACTGATTATGGCAAGAAAACTGATATTGATTATGATTATGTAGATGATGGTGATGGTAATGATGATGATTATGATGATAATGGTAATGATGATAATAGTCATATTGAATGTAATGATAATAATGATGATGATGATGATGGTGGTGGTGATGATGATAACAATAATAACAAGACAGGAACGAATACAAATAAAAATAGGTGTACACATGTCCTACATTGTTTTCTTTTAATCATTCCTTTATCCTCGTCCAGGTTCAGTAGGGTTGGATTGGGAGACACTCTATAAAACACTGAATCAAGATTTTAACTGGAAAGATGCTGTACAAAAAGCTTTGGGAAGCGATGACACATTAAAAGAGGTATTATTACCGTCCAAAACATAAAAGCCAAAGGCTTTAAAGTACAAATTCTTAAGCCGCACCGGTTCGAAGGAAAGTTACTTATCAAAGCGCTTAACTTTAGATCAAAGATATTATAATTTTTATTTTTTTGTAAATTAAACCGATTAATTGCGTGGAGGGACACAAACTAAGTCCAGAACTTTCGCTTAACTAGAGGGTTTGGAGAAAAGCTCCAATCAAAAGTTCAGTTTTCATATTTATTTCTCTATTCATTTACTAATTTATCTAATTATTTATCAATTTTAATATATTTATTTATTTATCTATTTTTTTGTTTTCAGGCCATTTATCAGGGTCGAGTCTACGTTCTTCGTTACGAGTTGTGTGACGACCTACCCAGAGAAGAAGTGGACCTTACTGACAATAATCCCAACAGGACAATGTGGGACACACTCTCTCCCATTGCTCTGTTTGCGTCTAAGCAACATTTCCAGACAAAAACCAATGATCTTGTCCCTGTAGCCATCCAAATGGACTACACTCCAGGTTCAGTGTAATAAAGATTTAGAAAGTTAATATTTACTAAACATTACCTTTCCGCCACAATCTTGTTAACCTTGTTTCGCCGTACTTCGGAAATCGAATAGTTTGGGCAATGTGATCATTTTATTTCCTTATTTTTGAAACTACTGAACTGCTGGCTAAGTAGTTATCGGATTATTTCTGAGTCAGGTAAAAATCACTTTTAGGGAAAAAAGCAGGTTAAAATAGCCTGAAAAGAACGAAATTATAGGGAAGAGGAACTCAGTCAACGAAAAAAAAAAGATCTGCTGTCTGTTTTAAACTGTCTGTTAAGTTGGGATGAATCATGTAGACAGTATGAAGCATAGTTACATAGTAATAAATCTAGTACGTTTTGCAAATAGTAAATTAAATAACCAGTTGGCTGAGCTAACATCTTTTCCTCATCAGATTCATCTGTATACACTCCTGATGATGATGACAACTGGATGTTGGCCAAATTGAATGTCCAGGTTACAGATCTCGGATATTCACAAATTGTGGAGCATCTTGGCAAGGTATGTCACTACTATAAATTTTTTATAGGCACTCCTGGAAATTCCACGAGTGCCTTCGATTTAATGCAAAAAATTGGATCGGAAAAGTCAATTGTTCGATGAAATCCGGCTGAATTGTGGCGTATGACAACGTGTACTCTTCCAACATGACAATTGCGAAAGAAAGAGCTCGCGGCTTTTGCTGAAACTTTTTAAGTTGCTGAGCCGAGTTTGAAATGATGAACAATTTACAGCAGCAAAGGGTTGCCCGAAATGGCGACATGGGAAAAACAACTGAACTGCTTCAACCCAGAACAACGGGGGGAATGCAAGAGCAGGCTTTAAACGGATCACTAGAACAGTGAGCGTTGTAACTGTTGAGGTTTGCTCCGCTGAGATGACCGTAGATCGCTATTGTGGTGAACGAGCGTACGCTCCTTACGTAAGCTTTTCAATACTCTTTTATCGACATCACAAAAATAAAGCTCGTTTTTTCGGAAACGCAGACAGCTCATGCGTTTTTTCCTTTCGCTGATTTTTACATTAACAGTGTAATTACTTCGTCTGTGATGAATGAAGCGCCATTTATTAAAAGTTCGTTAGGTCGAGAGACACTTGTTTATTTCGCTACTCGAGTGCTGTATTTTCATCGGCAGTTTGACGGAAACGTTTCTTTACTTGCAATTTACGAACATTTTAAACACCACTGTAATTAACGATGGTCTCCACGTAGTCCATCTTTATTTTAGAAAAATAGCTCGTTTTGTTTTCGTTGAATTTGGGTCAAATTCTTCAAGATAACGCCGAAGCAAAAATTAGTAAAATTTACCCGCCAATTTTCAATCACCGTGCTCTATACTCTCATAGAGCACGCTATTTCAATCAATCAGAGGGCGCGTTATATCGAAAATTTATAATAAATATGTTTTAAAGTAGTTATACCACACGAAGATTAACCATAATGCTTGTCTTACAAGGTTCATTTTTTGATGGAGCCATTTTGCGTGGTATTGCAACGCACCCTGTCGTCCTCTCATCCACTTCATCAAATTTTAAAGTATCACTGCAGAGACGTGACAGTTCCAAATACCCTTGGCGTCCCAAAACTTCTTAACGAAGGACAGTTTACGGATCAGCTGTTTGCATTTGGAAATAATGGAACCACCCGACTTCTTACAAACGCACAGCCATTAAGCACATGGGATGTCACAGATTTTAGAAACGAAATAAAGGTATGTGATGTGTCGGTTTTCCCCCTTAACGTTTCAACCTATAAAAATTCAAAACATTTCGGTTAACCAAAGCACTTTTTCAGGCTTAAAAGACGTATAAATGTATTCCTATTGACCACAATATTCAGACTATATATCTGCATGAAGAATAGACAGTCAACCCTTTTCTCCAACAAAAGAGCCTAAGAAGAAGAAAACAAATTGAACTCATATTTTTTATGCAGTCCTTTAATAAACTTATACCTAATGTTTCTTTTCTTTCCCCCTTTTTATCAAGCCTTCTTCTGCCGCCCCTTTTCGTTCACATTCGGGTACACACATGTATGTTGGATTCTTAAGTCATTCCAAATGAATACGACATCTTCGATTGAGTATTTCACTCGAAAAGCGTTCACAGATCATGTACTACACGTCTCAAACGAAAATGCAAGTTGAAACGATGATCCATATATAGTACTCCAGTCTCCATTATTCCTGATGGCGTCTTTGACATGATGACCTCAACTGAATTATTGTTTAAAAGGAAGGAAATAACCGCAACGACATAATTAGAACAAAAATGATTTTTGTTTTATTTAACTATAACTCGAGCATAGTAAGAATAGTCTGTACGAATAGGCCTAAGAACCCGGTGCATGCGCTTGCAAAGTAATTTTAAAAGGAGCAATTTTGTGGAAACACATAGCTTGGAAATTGAGTATGTTGTGCTGTAGTACATTTACAATCAAGTGTGGACTTTTTTTATTTCTTTTGGATGAATAGAAACGCGGAGTCGATGACAAGGAGCTTCTTCCTTACTATCCTTACCGTGATGACGGAGAGAAAATTTTGAAAATTATCGAAAATATGGTGAAGGATTACGTCGAGTTGTAAGTATTACTGCCTAGGAAAATACTAGATAAAATTGTAGCTCTGAACTAACTCCTAGTTATCAAGAACAACTTACTAAGAACACTAGTCAGTTAAATAACAAGGCTAAGTTTGATTTAGAAATGCTGGCGTTTTGACCGTGAGCCCATCTACCTTGGGTGTTGGCATAACAGCCACAACACAGTTCCGATAAAGGGCTAAACCTCGTGACACCAGCCTTACTAAGCTCGCGATGGCAGTTCACGTCGACTTTTTTAAAACTATTTATTTTACATGCCTGTCGACGCAGCACTGCAGCGTCTTAAAAAGCTAGCTTTCTAAGGTATGTTTATACCGAGTATGATTCTTACGCTAGAGTGATACTGTGTCCGATGTCCCCAATAAGTAATCAAACCTTACACCTTCTGATTTCTAGTCGAATGCTCAACCAAATAGCAACAGATAGCTCGTGGCAGGATATACCTTTATGAACTAGGTACGGGTTTAAAAAACTAACTTTGGACTCTCCTTTAGAAGGCAATGTTTCTTGTTGCAAAAGCAGCCGGGGCGTCGATGATGACTTCTAGTCTTGCCATACAATCATTCCATCTATGTATATCCAATTTAATGGTGATTTTTTTCAATTGTCTCCACAAAAAGCACTAATTATAGCTTAGAAAACACCGTGTATGGAGTGTCAGTAAACGTTTTGCATTCTACTGTTTTCTCAGGTATTATCACGACAATGAGGATGTTAAAAAGGACCGTGAGTTTGAAGGATTCCTCTCTGAATTGTCTATTTATGGGAAAGTAAGTGTAAAAAAGTCTGATTCCTATTGTGGTTTGTTTATTTCTGTCTTTGGTTTTATATATCTACAACTCGTCTGCTTAAATATCTTGATCTTCGACCAGTGATGGAGGGATATATTGCGTGCACTGCGTAACTGCGGGTACCTGCTATTGTAAGCTTAGTTTTTGGCGTCTGAATCATCGATTATAGTAACGTTACCGTCTTAGGCCAACGGACGTACATTACTCTCCCAAGGGTTTTCGTTAAAGATAACATTGTGTTACATTTAACATTTTGAAATCATTAAAACTTAAATAGATAGCCTGTGATGAGGCACAACTGTAAACATTCTGGGTTACGGCGTTGCTGGGGCAAGGCGTTATCGAAGATGGTCGTTCAATCACTTAAACACTGATATCCGTTGTAATTTCGCAGTGCTATATAAAATTCTTTATTCTGCGTTTTAACAGATTAAAGGATTACCCTCAAAGATTACGACTAAAGATGAACTCTGTGACATTGTGACCCGCATTATCTCACAACTGAGCGTCCAACACGCTGCTGTAAACTATCCCCTGACAGACTACGGTCTGTACACTCCCAACCTACCAACCAAACTGTACAACGATACCAGGATGAAGGAGGGCGAACACCCTGAACTACGTCTGCCAAATGAAAAGACCTCCTCTGTAAGTTGTGCGACCATATTGAACACCTATACGCTGGATATGGCATAACCACAGGTTTAATCATATAAATTTAGCTTGTGCCGTTAGAGAAGTTTTCAACTGAGTGTCGAAAGTAATCCGAGATTGCATTGGTTTTGCTCTACTGTGTGTTGTGATTGGTCTAGAAAACTCGCGCCACCCTCTCAGCCAATCAGATGCAAAACGAAAAAAAATCGCGACTTGGTCACTCGCGTTTTCCCGCGCTCCAGGCCGGTTACACGCGTTTACTTCGAGTTCTCATTGGCTCCTTCTGATAGTTTCCCTTGTTCTGATTGGCCGTTGTGATTACTTTGGTTTTGGTTTTTTGACATTCAATCGAAAAGCGCTCTAAAGCGATACAGTTTAGTATCGTATTAAAAGCTAAGGAATGTACGTTTGAATTTCGTGAATCTGAAGTAAATGATTATTTAGCTCCTTCCTTGACCTCCCCCAACACATTTTACTCAGGGGTACATTGGAAATGCATTGTACACAACGTTTTTCCAAACAGATAAAATGAATAAGGTGGAAGGGGAGAACGTGTCTGTCACAGTTTATGAGCTCTCTACGGTAGCATAAACATCTGCTTCGAGGGTAATTTTCCTTCAGGGGTATTTTTGGCGTTTCTGTTTTCCTTTGGCATTCTATTCATACACAGTGATGTGACTCTGAATGTACGCCAGTTATAATTTGGCTGTGGCATGCCGAGTTGCCGTCAGTCAGTCGCTGATCTAAAAATTTACCCAAGGAGCCCGATAGGCAGATAGTGTTTAAACCTATACGCTCGTTAATCATACATAGGGAGTCAGCAATTAATACCTATCTCAGGCAGTCAGTAAACGCAATCAACCTTTATGCCAGTCGGGTAGTCAGGCAGGCACTCCGGCAGCAAGTAATTTATTGAATTAGTGCGTTCGTACTCCACTGATTTAAAAGGCCATGATACACTAGATAGAAAGACGGTGAGTAGAACATTGATTAAGTTTGAACATCAGATAGTCAAAACTAATTTTTTTGCTATTTTCACTCCACAGATCGAAGCCAGCTTTAGTAACGCGCTTGCGCTGTTCCGCTTTGACTCCTTGTTTGACTACGGCAACGAACTTCGTGATCCTGAGGCCGTCAAACTCGTCAATGGTTATTACACTTACCTCATGAATGTTATTCAGCCTCACATGCAAGAAAAGAACCGAAAGAGGAAGGAAGATGGTTATTTGACCTATCCGTACTTCATTCCGAAATGGCTGCCAAATGGAATTCAAACCTGATCCTCCACATTCTCCGCAAAAACGAACTGTCCTTACACTTTCTTTTTTACTTGACGTAGCTTTAGAAAGCACTACACATGCATTGTTTGTTACATTGGTAATTAGTTCAAGTTTTTAAATGGGGAGCTTTCGTTTATTTAACCCACCTCTGCCACATTCTCTGTGGCTTTACCTGCATCAGTAAAATTGTTTTAAGGATTTGATGGAGCCAGCTGTGAAATTACACGCACCAGCCGGCCGCTTTTTACTTAAAAGTAGCTGCATTTAGATATTCATTGATTTCGTAGATTTCTTGCATACGGCCGGCAGTGTGCAAGGGAAGTTACTTTCTTTATTTCATATTTCAATTTGCACTGTTTACAACTACTGTAGCATGAGAGATTAAACATTTTCTTTTTTGCAATGAATTTGTTATAGCCTTTATTTATTAGCAGTTTACATTTGTAATGTCCCAAAAACAAAGTCCGTCTATCTTTATTACTTCGTGACAAGACTAGACTTGCCGAACAATGTATGCATAACAACGCATGTACATCACTCTTTTTTTTTTCACCAACAATTTTCTAACTCCAAAGAGCGTTATACAAGAGTGCTTATCTCCTTTTCGCAGCAGCAAGGTGCAAAATGTGAGTGTGCTGTTAAAAGTTAAAAAAAAAGTTGAGTCGAAAATTTATTGACAGTAAACACCGTTACGAAGCAAAGGTTGCCAGGCACGTCCACACACCTCATTTTGACCCGCAGTTTTAAAATATCTCTGGCATTTAGAACACTTCCCATTTTCGTTTATCTTGAAATTGCCGCCATTTACGAAGCAAAGGTTGCCAGGCACGTCCACACGCCTCAATTTTACCTGCAATTTTAAAATATCTCTAGCCTTTAGAACACTTCCCATTTTCGTTTATCTTGAAATTGCCGCCATTTCAGACAGGATCATTTAGCCAACGTTTCTAGATGTGTTCTTTAGGTCTCGCATGAAAGATTCTTTACTCAATAAGTACGCAATAGACTGCAATGAAAATATCCTTGAAGAAAACCAAATGCAACGTCACAAGAATCAGAGAAAAAAAAGATGTATTTAAAACCCTATTCCAGACAAAAATTTTGAAAATAGGTACCCAATTCCAGACAGTTGTCCAGTAGACAATCAGTTTCTTCTATTATACGGTTTATGATTCGTGATTAATCAGAATTCTGGGAAAAGGCGACCCTGTTCCAGAGTCAAATCTAAAGTAAAATATACCCTCTTCCAGAGAAAAAGGGTGATTTCTATACCCCGTTTTAGAGGCAGAGAGGCAAAAAGCATACCCTGTTGGGCGGCACATACCCGTCAAGCCCATATATTGAAATGACAGAAACTACTTGTTAGAAAAGAATACCTCTGGTGCAATATAGGGGTGGAAATGAATTCAAGTGACACACTGAAAATGATATTCTATCCTGTACGTTCTAGGCTCCTTTCAAACTGTTAAGCCCTTGTGTCATCAATTTTATATGAGAGCAGCCCCTACAAGGAAAGTTACATGTCATATGTGAACACTCTAACTCCAATTGCAAGTTAACACACAAACTATACTTTCGTGATAGTTGAAAGTTATGTATCAATAATTAATATTCAATGAACCACTTAAACTGTTTCTTTACTTAGCAAACCATGTAAATAACAGCTAAAGTTATATTTAAACAACCACAAAAATGATCACAATATATGTGACCTTTAGAACCAAGCAAAAGGATCTTCCTTTAAAATTACATATGTATTTACCCTAAAATTATATGGGTGACACACAAATGGCATCTCAAGGTTGTTTTGCCTGACAATTTCAAATCCCTGAGGAAGATCTGTTTCCTTGATCTCGAAGGCATTCAGATCCTCATTAAAATTTAAAGTCGTACCTACGTGGAGGGCAAAGTAAATGCTATGATTGACAATAAACCAAATTTTTACAACCTTACCAAACTCTGACAAGCCACTCCGCCTCCCAAAATTCAGAAAAGCATCCCTATCAGGCTTGTATTAAGTACCGAATCTAAGGAATAAACTGTGATACCATCATGACTCCCCAATTCATAAAACCGTTCTATGTTTGATCATGCAGTCTCTCGGTCATCACCAAATAGTTTCTTACTTACTCCAAATTTAATATCTTCCCTAAAGAGGGGACCTTTATCTTCTTTGTTAAGCCTAACATAATCAGCTTGGACAGAAGACCGATACCTCCTTGACAATGATAATGGTAGTTGTTTAAAGTTCTTTATAATCCTTGCTTGATCCTTGAAATAAACATGCTTAGCCTCAAAGCGCAAACACCATGAACGGATTAAAGGACCAAATTTCAAAGTTAGAGAAGGCAATTGAACAAGATAGAGTTGTTTTGGTGTAATGTTTTATGTCTTTATACACAGTCTTGAAGAGGTTCAAGTGGTCCTAAATAGCTTTTTTCAAGTATACAGTAGCAGCTATGGAGATCTTAAGGTTTTCGCTTCTTTTATAAACTCATGGTTGATTATTAACCAAGTTTTTCCTTTTGCTCGACGATGCAGCAGCGGAAACAAATTTTTAGAAAATGGCAAGCTCCTGTCTTTCGCCAAGTTTACATGCAAGCACTCCTCAGCTTCTTAAAAGTATCGCAGAGATCATTTGGGTGAAGATAGAATGAAACGGTCGTGTTAGAAATCTGACTCAAATGTGAAACATATCCTGATTCCCCGCGAAGATTCCAGGCTCAGACACTCAATGCAGTCCCTGAAAGGCTCCGACTACACTTTTTTATATTTTATTAATATTTTTGTTCATTAATGCAGTTTAAAAATTGTCCATATTCCGTATAGTAAATGAAGCATACCATTTCCACCCAAGGACACCAGGATTTTCACATTCCATTCAACTGTCTACATTACGCTGTTTACATTTGTTTTCTCACTCGGTAGTCAACTTTCTATTTCAGTCTTTTTTGTAAATTCCAGTTGCCTGCACCGATAACTTGAAAGTTCTTAATGAATGTGTTCAAAAGGCAATATCTTGATGTCCCCACTTTGCAACTTGAAAAGTTTAGTAACTACGGCCGTTATAATTGAGTGAGTATCAGAAATCAGTGGAACGAATTTTTGCCGGATGGATCGCACAAATCAAGCTAATGGTAAAAAATAACAAATATCGAATGACAAAATACGTTTTAGCATTGAACAAACACCCCTTTTCCTCAAATTTAAGGTCCGTTTTGGCAAATACATCTAACTTTTCTGTGCTTGCAATTCTTAAAAAATAAGCAAATGAAAATAAAGTCAAATAACAAACATAGAGGCATGCATGTTGATCGTGAACTCACGAAAACCAGTCTACAGACTAAAATTGAAGGTTAGCGAAAGTTTTAGCCCAGAATATTTTTTGCCTTTTTCTTTTCAGTGAAAGTTTTTTTCCAAAACATGCAACGAGAGAAAACGGCCTTAAAGGTCTTGTACGCAGTAGGGTTGTTGATCAAAAGCGTGCTGTTATGCTATACAGCTGCATAGCAATTGGCGGCTACGGGCCAGCCGGAAGTTTCCAAATTTGGTATGATGCTACAACGCCACATCATGAAGAGAATCACAGGGGCTGGTCTTTCAGATGTGAGTTTGCGGGGATGCTATGCTGACTTCAGATCAAGACGAGACATTTGTGAGCTGAACAACCGAACCCAGGAGGCCAAACCAGAGGATTGTGTTCCGAACCCTGAGAGATTTTACTTTAAGCGAGATTACAAAAGAGGTTTTTACACTTTGAACTGTCTTATTCGCTTTAAAGACATTTTCAGAGCACAAAAACTCAACCCAAAATTAAGGAATTGTCTCACATCACCTAACTTCTTGCCCTAAGTCAAGTCGCCCTCAATATCAGCGTCCTCGCCCCCAAGAGGAACATCAAGTCTTGCTTACTTGGAGTGCTATGCTAATGTTGCTTTTTTTTCTTCCAGTCCCTCTCGGTTCCATTCCTGAGCTGCCTGCGGAGACCTGCCAAGAAATCAAAATGAGCGAAGGAGGACAAGTGGTCAGCGGCAAATACTGGTTTCATTCGATTGTACTCTAGAGGACCGCTATGGCTCCTTGTGACATGAAAACCGAAGGTGAATTCAAGTGTTTATCAATTCACATCTTCTACCGACCAAAACCGGTTTACCACTAACAAAAGCGTTGACAGAGATTTTATGAGTAGATTGCAACCCCCAGCCCCCCTCCTTCTCTTCTTCAAAAAAAAAATCAATTCACTCGTAGGGGGAAATGAAAAAATAAAGCAAAACAAAATAAAATAAAAATAGTAAGATATCTGACGGAAACAAAGCTATGAAGGAATGCTATAATCTCTCTTAAACTGATCGATTTGAGAACAGGTAAAATAGAATTGAAAAATCTCTTTTTTGACCCAGAGATAATCATTCAATAGCAAATTGTTCTCACATCTTTATGGTGACGAAATTTAACGAATAGGGGAGGGAAAATTTTGCTTCCTGAAGGAGCGTACAGAGTAAATTTTGTGAGAAGCATTTGGTCTGATGAATCCACGAACAAGTCCTAATTCAGCAAATACCCTCCTTTTGCTTTTCAACTGATCGCAAACTATGTTGTTTTTTTAAGACTTGGACGAATGTAATTCAACAATTCCTGTGTGTGACGTCAACGCAGAATGCGTGAACACCATCGGTTCTCACATTTGCTCGTGCAAAGCGGGTTTTACTGGAAACGGAAAAAAGTGTGTCGGTAAGTTATTGAAATGACTTTCATTATTGCCTTAAGTAATTCATTTTAAAACAAAGCAAAACCAGTACAATCCCGGCTTAACCTGGACACTCGGTTAAAAATTGCTTTATGACCGATTAGAATTGTCCCCCAAGCAATGACATGTTCAATTGCTTATAAGGCGAGACGCTTTCGCCAATAACTGTCATTTTCGATGGACTCTTGCTCTTGAGTTCAAACCATTTATTTTTTATGCATTCGTTCAGATGTCGACGAATGTGCCAATAAATCGCATGACTATGACGTCAATGCCTACTGCAACAATACCGTTGGTTCCTATCGATGTAGCTTCAATTCCTGGTACCAAGGAAACGGAACAAGCTGCTATTTTGGTGAGTTTAACTAACATTGAGACACGAGCGACCTCAGTTTGTTATAATACTCGCATTTCGCATTCTATATCTTTCTTTATCATATAAAGCTTACAATTTTGTTAATATATTTTTTTAACATGAGTCAGTCCTGAATCGAGATCAAGATGGAAATCGTCCTAACAACAGGCTACATTATGACCCTTTATTCCCTAGCATCAGTACAGATATTCTCCAAACTGTTCTCTATACATACCGTATGGTACTGCCAAGGGAATTTATTTGACAATCAACAGCTTTATAACTTGATGATTATTTCCTTTATTCCGATGATTCTGATGTTTGGTTCGGCAGTAATACGGTGAGGAGAAATTAAATGCCCAACCCTCTTAGGGGTTAAAGGGTTGAAGAATACGTCTCACTTGGCGCCTAACTGACCACCCTCCCCCCCCCCCTTAAAAAAGAAACAGTATCATTGATCTTTAAAGTCTGTTGCTCACAACTATGTCGAAATTTCTATCTTGATCAGCCTTAATTCTTCTTTTTTCATTATTATCATATTTTTATCTCGTGATTTCCTCTAATTCTAAGAAAACATTGATTGGTGCAAATAACGAGTCGGAAACTCGAGTATTCGGATGAATAGTGTGAATTTTTCACTGGAAGTCGTTCTTTTTTCTCCACCTAACATTGAAGTTTTCTTCGAAATAACAAACTAAACACTAAAAACTCTGCTGTCTAAGTGAATATCAAATAAGTATCGTATTAATAGAGTTAATACAGTGTGTGCCTCCTCACACAAGGCCCGGTCAACAGAACTTGCTCTGTATTCTCTCAGAGCTTAGTCGCTTATCTAGCATTTAAAAAAGTGTTGTGATTGGTGGAAAATCCATGGTTAATTGTACCAATAAACACATAATTTTGTCTCCCGGCGATCAAACCGCTGATCAAGGAGCTCAAGGACTCTGGGAACGAGACTGCCACCTACATTACCCGGCCCATGCAATCTAAACTCCCTTTTCCCCTTACCCCTACTTCCCATAGGAAAAAAAAGCAGAATGATAGACTTGAGTTGCATAGTGTTGGGTATTAACATTTTTCTTATTACTTTTTCATTTCGACAAATTAAAAGAAGTGAGATGAAAGATAACAATTGTCCTAGATATCACACAGTGCCGCATTATTGTCTTACAGCGCCTTTAAGTGGTGAACTGGTAACAAAGACAATATTGTCATCCCAGTATTATAAACGACGCGGACGGTGATTCATTAATGGCTGTAAAAATGGTGAATTTCAGTTATGAGGCACTCCCTTTTTCTTTTTTTTTTGCATTATGTGAAACAAACAGTAAACGAACACATGGTGGTCACAGTTTAAGTCTTTGAGTTCTTTGCATCGGTACGCTTCCCATGAAATTTTAATGAACTTTCTTAGATGAAAGAAATGACGCCAATCGCAGGAACTACATTTTCAGTTCAGTTCTTTGTCTGAAAAATTTCCACTTCGCTACTCTTTGACAAAGCGCTGTCTTGGGTGCTTTCAAAATGTCAAAATGTCCTCGCCATGCCCAAAAATTAATCGAAAATGTTTTGGATGAAATGCAATTTACGGAAACGAGTCTAGCGATTTTTCTTCTGTATTTGGCAGTATCTGACATGTAGATTACGTCTGTTCATACGAAAAAGGCTGGAAAACAAATGTGCGTGAGTCTTGATCAACCCATGCGTCTACTTAATTCATGCCTATTGTTCCACGCTACAACATAAAAACCAACGCTTATTTCATGGCATGTCGGATCTTAAGGATTTTATATTTTCACTTCGCAGCACAAGAAGTCTGGCGGCACCCATTGAAAAATCTGAAATAAAACATTTGAAAAAAAAAAAAGAAAAAAATGGTATCCACCTTCCTTCATGGTATATTTACTGGGGTTAAACTAAGAGGCAGTCACACAGTTGATAATTAACTTTCTTAGATGAAAGAAATAACGCCAGTCGCAGGAAGTACAAATTTTAGTTCAATTCTTTGTCTGAAAATTTCTACTTCGCAACTCTTTGACAAAGCGCTGTCTTGGGTGCTTTCAAATGTCAAGTGTCCTTGCAAGTCCAAAAATTAATCGGAAAAAATGTTGCGGGTGAAATGCAATTTACAGAAATGAGTTTGGAGATTTTTCTTCTGTATTTGGCAGAATTTGACATGTAGATTACGTCTGTTATATGAATAAGGCTGGAATACAGATGTACGTGACTCTCATATCAACCCAGGCGTCTACTTAATTCATACCTATTATTCTACGCTACGTAAAGAAAAAAAAGAGAAGCAAATGAAAAAAACATAACAAAACAAAACAAACTATTCTTTTATATTTTCATTTCCCTGCACAGCAAGTCTGGCGGCACCCAATGAAAAATCTGGAATGATACATTTGAAAACAAAAAAGAAAAAAGGGTATCCTGCTTCCTTCATGGTATAGTTACTGGGGTTAAACTAAGAGGCAGTCACACAGTTGATAATTAACTTTCTTAGATGAAAGAAATAACGCCAGTCGCAGGAAGTACAAATTTTAGTTCAATTCTTTGTCTGAGAAATTTCTACTTCGCTACTCTTTGACAAAGCGCTGTCTTGGGTGCTTTCAAATGTCAAAGTGTCCTTGCAAGTCCAAAAATAAATCGGAAAAAATGTTACGGGTTAAATGCAATTTACAGAAATGAGTTTGGCGATTTTCCTTCTGTATTTGGCAGTATTTGACATGTGGATAACGTCTGCTATATGAATAAGGCTGGAATATAAATGTACGTGACTCTCATATCAAACCAGGCGTCTACTTAATTCATACCTACGCTACACAAAGAGAAAAAAAAGCAAATGAAAAAAAAAAACAAAACAAAACAAACTATTCTTTTATATTTTCACTTTGCTGCACAACAAGTCTGGTAGCGTGCAATGAAAAATCTGGAATGATACATTTGAAAACAAAAAACTGGTATCACCTTCCTTCATGGTATACTTATTGGGGCTAAACTAAGGGGTAGTCACGTAGTTAATAAACTTGTTGCTTAGGTCGATCCAAGAATTTCAAATAGATATTTTTAAATATAAGCTGTGGGCGTCGCGTCGTTGTATGATCTCCCATCCGTGACACATCATTACAAGGCTGCGATGTACTTTTTCATTTATTTCATGGCATATCGGATCTTGATGAAAATTCATGTCTGATGACAATAGTTTATTGAAGTGTCGCCATAGGCAAATAATACCGTCAGTTAATGGCTGTTTTAAATCCGTAATATTCATAAGAACCGACGCTTATTTCATGGCATGTCGGATCTTAATAATTTTATATTTTCACTTCGCTGCACAGCAAGTCTGGCGGCACTCAATGAAAAATTTGGAATGAAACATTTGAAAAAAAAGAAAAGAAAAAAATGGAATCCACCTTCCTTCATGGTGTAATTGCTGGGTTAAACTATGAGGCAGTCACACAGTTGATAATTAACTTTCTTAGATGAAAGAAATAACGCCAGTCGTAGGAAGTACATTTTTAGTTCAGGTCTTTGTCTGAAAAATTTCCACTTCGCTACTCTTCGACAAAGCGCTGTCTTGGGTGCTTTCAAATGTCAAAGTGTCCTTGCAAGTCCAAAAATAAATCGGAAAAAATATTACGGGTTAAATGCAAGTTACAGAAATGAGTTTGGCGATTTTCCTTCTGTATTTGGCAGTATTTGACATGTGGATAACGTCTGCTATATGAATAAGGCTGGAATATAAATGTACGTGACTCTCATATCAAACCAGGCGTCTACTTAATTCATACCTACGCTACATAAAGAGAAAAAAAAGCAAATGAAAAATAAAAACAAAAGAAAACAAACTATTCTTTTATATTTTCACTTTGCTGCACAGCAAGTCTGGTAGCGCGCAATGAAAAATCTGGAATGATACATTTGAAAACAAAAAACTGGTATCACCTTCCTTCATGGTATACTTATTGGGGCTAAACTAAGGGGTAGTCACGTAGTTAATAAACTTGTTGCTTAGGTCGATCCAAGAATTTCAAATAGATATTTTTAAATATAAGCTGTGGGCGTCGCGTCGTTGTATGATCTCCCATCCGTGACACATCATAACAAGGCTGCGATGTACTTTTTCATTTATTTCATGGCATGTCGGATCTTGATGAAAATTAATGTCTGATGACAATAGTTTATTGAAGTGTCGCCATAGGCAAATAATAGTTCAGGTCTTTGTCTGAAAAATTTCCACTTCGCTACTCTTCGACAAAGCGCTGTCTTGGGTGCTTTCAAATGTCAAAGTGTCCTTGCAAGTCCAAAAATAAATCGGAAAAAATGTTTCGGGTGAAATGCAAGTTACAGAAATGAGTTTGGCGATTTTTCTTCTGTATTTGGCAGTATTTCACATGTAGATTACGTCTGTTCATATGAAAAAGGCTCGAAAAAAAATGTGCGTGACTCTTATATCAACCCAGCCGTCTACTTAATTCATACCTATTATTCTTCGGTACATAAAGAGAAAAAAAAGCAAATGAAAGAAAACGAAACACAATTGTTTATTGAAGTGTCACCTTCGGCAAACAATACAGTCAGTTAATGTGCAGTCAGTAACAGTCATAAAAACCAACGCTACCATTTACTTACCACAGTTGTTATTCCACCTCTCCGGGTGTAAACAGCTTCTGGTCAAATCATAGCTCCGATCGAAGGTGAGTGGGCCCGTTTATTGACTTACAGGAATTGATATATAAAGTATTTTCATTAATGTGCGTGTTTTGTAAATTGTAACTTTCATGAATCATTTTTCCAGTTATAACTAAATCTACCTAAGTTTATTTTGCCGTAAGAAGGTTGATTCATTCGATGCGGTTGTAGATATGACTGAACTTTTTGGCAGCTGAAGTCTAAAATTTCTTGATAACGTATAACTTACGGAAAGCTAGTGAGACGCATTTCTAAAATTTCCCAGGGCCTTAACATTCGGATTCTGCCAAACACAAAAAATAGCGTATGACAGCATACTCGGAAAAATTGAATTTGGGCTATGTTGCGCGTGATGCAATCAAAGTTTAAAACAAAAATATGTACATTTTTTGTAATGTCTTGTTTCCATAAATTCTTCGCGTTAATTTTTCCACGCTTCATCGCTTGGTTTGAATCGATCGAAGCTGACAGGTAGCAATTTTAATTTCAATTTGAGTCATTTAAAGGGCTTGTAGAACAGTTGTTTCAATTGCTCTTTTTTCTTTTTCAATCATCTGTATTTCTTTTCGTTTAAATAGACATAAGAGAAGTAAATGGTTTATGGTTAAAAATTCACAAAGTAAGACGAGTCTTTTCACAAAAAAACTTTTCATTCCCTGTCACACCACCCTTGGTCGTAGACATTCACAAATGACGCCATGCGTAATAGGCTATTTCCGAGTTGCCTTTTGCCTCCGTTTAAAAACGAGTCCAAGTACAAACCATTCAAATGAAAATGAGTTTGATTTACATGAAAATGGGCATGGGATCGAGTGAAACGTATTATCATTTGAATGGTGCACGTAGACTCGTCTTGAAACAGAGGCAAAAGGCTAACAAGGTGGCGCTCTTTGCCTTGCTATTTTCCACTTCGCTACACACGAATAATAAGCCCCCCTGCCAATTTAACTTGATGTCGCCACCAGTCCAATCTCAATAATTGCCACCTAGGAGCTAAACCAAAATATAAAGCTGTGATTTACAAAGTGGGCCGATAGTTCACTATATATAGACATACAGTTTGTATTTGACCTATGAAATTTCTTTGCCTGAAAAATAGGTTCACTGACTGCCAAGAAACAGCAGGCTTCAAGTCCTGAGACAACAAAGGCCACATACAGACAGTGAGCAATTTCGGTGTCAGTTATGAACGCGAATATTTTGCTTGGTATAGTATTCATAGTCGCCTGTTATGGTGCAGTTTCGAGGTAAATTTTCTTTCGTGTAATTAAAATATTCCTTGTTATGGTAGGGAGCTTCCAACTCTTCGATTTATAAAACCAGTACTATTTTTTAATCTTATCAATCTTATCACTTTTTTTGTAATTCTATTAAAACTAGTTCTGATAGAGCTATTTGCAAATAAATATCTTCAAATTAGAATAACTGCTTGCTTAAAACCACAGGCGCACGGAATTCGAATATAAGGGGCGGAGACCTCATTAAATTAAGATCTTAAGAATAAGGACGCCGACAACAGCGAGCTCGAAAACAAATTTGTAGAAGCCATGGTTAAAAGGAAACTTAAAGCCCTATTTCGGGGACGCATTGCTCGAGGACATCAAACCCACATTTACTTGTTTGTATTGTAACAGCTTTGTTTCTTGGTAGAACTTGCATTGGAATTACAGGATTAACCTGCGACAAACGTTCCAGCTCGAGCATGTGAAGAAATTCTGCATGTCTGAGCCCATTTCCCACATGTCTGATCTCAACTGCCACGCAGAATTTACAAGCAAAATAGAAACCTTTGCGGTGATTTGCACAGCAAAACGATAAGTGGTAAAATGAGAAGTTAACAAATTGGCAGTCACGAAGCTCGGCACCTTTTCAGTATTATGCATTGTTGAGATTTTTCGTTTATTTTATTTAATTTACTTCATTTATTTATTGCTTTCATTTCTTTCTGTTTCCCGCCTCGTACACCACAGCTCAAATCTCATCTTACAATAATTTTGGTATTCTCAATTTTTTTTTTTTTAATAAGAACGTCTACTGTTGGAGCTGAGGCTGAACGTTCTTTTTTTGCGATTTGAGGCTCAAAACTTTCTTAAGATGTTCTTGAATTTGCATGGTATACAGTATTTAATAAATCAATGTGGATGTGATCAGGATACCTATCAACTACCTTGATAATGCTTTGTATCACTTGATGACTTTAACGGTTTGGATTTAAGTTATTTTGGAACAGTTATAAATAAGAACTGCTGATTATTACAAACCGAGAGATGTGCCTCGTGAAGTAAGAAAGCCACTGTTAATGTTATACAAAACGTGCACTTAAGTATTTCTGTGAACTTCCTTTTTTGTTACCTTTATTTTATTCTTGTCATTTAATATACAGATGAGCAAAATATCGTTCTTAATCGACCCTCAGCCTGAGGAATGTTCTTAAAACGTTCTTAAAAGTTTGGTTAATCTCAGCCTTTCCGCTTTAATAAAAAAGGTTCTTATAAAAAAGAGTATAATACAAGATATTTTTCATAAATTTTTTTCCTAGTTTGTCGTCTGGCCAGGACGATAAGCGTCACGCAGTCAAGAAAGTACCGATGATGGACATTTCAGATGAAGACTTGGAATGGATTAAAAAAAAGGCTAAATTGTAAGTAACACATCAAGCCTGGCGAGGCACGACGAGAATTTACTATAACTGAAAACAAGTTTTTAAACACATATAATTCTCAATTACAAATCGGCACAACACGTATTAACATAAACAACCTGCGTATACTATACGTATACAACAATCTTGATAACCTCAATGGTGTGGATTTAAGTTATTTTGAAACAGTTATAAATGAGAACTGCTGATTATTACAAACCGAGAGATGTGCGTCATGAAGTAAGAAAACCACTGTTAATGTTATACAAAACGTGCCCTTTAGTATTTCTGTGAGCTTCCTTTTTTTGTTACCTTTATTTTATTCTTTTCATTTAATATACAGATGAGCAAAATAACGTTCTTAATCGACCCTCAGCCTGAGGAACGTTCTCAATACGTTCTTAAAATTTTGGTTAATCTCAGCCTTTCTGTTTTAATAAAAAAAAGGTTCTTATAAAAAAGAGTATAATACAAGATATTTTTCATAAATTTTTTTCCTAGTTTGTCGTCTGGCCAAGACGATAAGCCTCACGCAGTTAAGAAAGTACCGATGATGGACATATCAGATAAAGACTTGGAAAGGATTAAAAAAATGGCTAAATTGTAAGTAACACATCAAGCCTGGCGAGGGACGACGTGAATTTAGTATAACTGAAAACAAGTTTTTAAACACATATAATTCTCAATTACAAATCGGCACAACACGTATTAACATAAACAACCAGCCTATACTATACGTATACAACAATCTTGATGACTTTAATGGTGTGGATTTAAGTTATTTTGGAACAGTTATAAATAAGAACTGCTGATTATTACAAACCGAGAGATGTGCGTCATGAAGTAAGAAAACCACTGTTAATGTTATACAAAACGTGCCCTTAAGTATTTCGGTGAGCTTCCTTTTTTTTTGTCACCTTTATTTTATGCTTGTCATTTAATATACAGATGAGCAAAATAACGTTCTTAATCGACCCTCAGCCTGAGGAATGTTCTCAATACGTTCTTAAAATTTTGGTGAATCTCAGCCTCTCCGTTCTAATAAAAAAGGGTTCTTATAAAAAACAGTATAATACAAGATATTTTTCATAAATTTTTTTCCTAGTTTGTCGTCTGGCCAGAACGATACGCGTGGCGCGGCCAAGATGGTACCGAAGATGGACATATCAGTTAAAGACTTGGAATGGATTAAAAAAATGGCTAAATTGTAAGTAACACATCAAGCCTGGCGAGGGACGACGTGAATTTAGTATGACTGAAAACAAGTTTTTAAATACATATAATTCTCAATTACAAATCGGCACAACACGTATAAACATAAACAACCAGCGTATACTAGAGAAGAAAATATAAATATATTTTAATCATCACAAACAAAAGTGGGCGCAAAACCAAACATAGCGAAAGAAAAATAAACAAAAACAAAATAAGCAAACGAAAATTTTTAGCGTTAGACTCATAAGTTATAACCGTATTCCATACATCACTGTTAAATGAACATATTAAAGAAAGAATTAGTTAATACGTCTAATTTTACTATGGGCATGTCATGGTTTTCGTTACAAAGGCATGCCCATTTTGTTTAGAAGGCGCATATGGCACGGACTTTGTTCGTGTAATTATGCGATAATCAAAGCATTTGTTTAGGAAAATGATTCCACACAAAAATTCAAAGATTGCAGACGTTCTCCAGTCCTCCAAACTCTAATACGGGAGTACGTAAGCGACAGAACACAAATTCACGACGTGAACACTTCGCTTGAAAAAGTAGAAAATATTCTCATCACAACAGCTAAACAATGTTCAAAAATTAAATTGACTTAAAACAAAAGCGTTTCGAGTCATCTTCAAATAAAAAATGGTTTGCTAGGGAATGTAGCTTTGGAAGACACGAATTAAGAACCAAAAACACAGAGATCCCTTGGATCTCATTTTACGTGAGGAGTACCACGCCGTTCTAACACAATACAAAACATTGCACTCTAAAAAGAACGAATAGTACAATGCCAAAATTCTTCAGTTGGAAGATTCTGCAAAAAATACAGATATGATAAAATTTTGGAAATGTCTTGAGTCAATGGATGACACCATGAAAGCAAAACATGCTCCTTTAGTCTCGGAAGAAAATTGGCTGTCGTATTTCCAGTCTGTTCATTCCAATGCACCGCCTAATCCCGCTCAACAGTTCATTTGTGATGAATTACGGGAACAAGAAGATCGTAAAAAAGCAGTCTCGTCGTTTAGATTACTTGATTACCGAAAATGAAATACGCACAGCTGTTAAAAAATTGAAGAATATAAAATCTCCCTTTTTAGATAAAATTAAAAATAAAATGATTAACGCCAGTCTTAATGATATGTTGCTCGTATAATACAAACTTGTTAATGCAATTATTTATTCGGGCACCATGCCTCAGGCCTGGTGTGGTGGTCTCATTTCACCGATTTATAAATCAGGTACGTGGAAGAAGTAACCCGTCCAATTACCGTGGTATCTGTGTTTCAAGCTGCCTGGGAAAACTTTTTTGCTCCATCTTATACCAAAGACTTCTAGAGCGTGTCGTTTCTCGTAATATACTTCACAAATCTCAGATTAGCTTTCTACCAATAAAATTGTACAGCAGACCATATTTTTACACAACGAACTTTGATAGACAAACGCGATCATAATCACAATGAAAAAGTCTGTGCTTGTTTTGTTATTTCAGGAAGGCTTTTGACTCAGTCTGGCACGATCAATCTGTGAGGCTGCTTTTATAGTTTGATTAAAAGCCTTTATTCCAAATCTTCATGTTCAATCAAAACTGGTCAAAAGAAAACAAGATCCTTTCAGTAAGCAAGAGGTGTACGCTATGATTGTATTTTAAGTCCATTGCTCTTTAATCTTTGTATCATTAATCTACCATTCTCCTTTCAACATACTTTATCTGACCCTTTTGTTCTACCAAACGGCGAAAAATTAAATTCCCTTCTACATTGCAGATGATTTGATCATATTATCGCGATCTAAAACAGGACTACAAAATTGTCTTAACACTATCTTCCTACTGCAGCTCGTAGATATTAAGTATAAATCCCCCCTCCCAAAAAAAAACCAAAACAAGATTGTGTTATTTAAAAAACGCGCAAGAAAACGCACTGAATTTTGATTTTATATAGATAACCAAATTATTGATGTTGTGCAAGAGCACCGTGTATACGTACTTAAAAACTCGAATTTCTTCATAAGGAAATTTTTCAGTAACACTTGACCACCTAAAAGAGAAAGCACTTCATGCTCTTTTCAGTCTAAGAAGATACACGGATTTTAGCAAGCTCAAACCATATTAAAATTTTGATACAATGATCTCCCCGATTCTGACTTACAACATTGAAATCTGGGCTGTGTAAACTAAGTCTAAATTTAAGGCGTGGGATAACTCACAAATTGAAAAAAAAACGCATCTACAGTTTTGCAAATGATACCTAGACATTCTATAACCCCAAAGTAAACACGAAGACTCCATTGTTAAACAGTCTTCTTGATGTCATTAGATCTTCGCGCCTCTGGTAAAAATAGCTTTCACTCTAGGCTTATGGAGATGTCCGAATACTTTAATCTTAGTCACCAAGACCCTGATTTATTAGACGCCGCTGAAATCAGAAACTTCGTAAGTTTAATGAAACAGAAATATATTTCATATTGGCAACAAACCCTTCACCATTCTCAAAAACTAGGATTTTATATAATTTTTAAAATCGAATATGCTCCTCCACATTATATTATCTAGACCTAACTACAAGAACATCTGAAAGAAAGGTCTTAACTGAACCACGCAGAAGCAATCAAAAACTCATGATTGAACTTGGCAGTTACAACCAAATCTCTACAGATTATTGACTCTGCCAAGTCTGAGGATCTAATTAATCAGATCGAAGACGAAATCCATTTTCTTTTCCACTGTTCCAAATACTCATTAATAAGGTATACTTTTTACAATTAAATACAGACTTTGATTCCAAATATTAGGCAGTCACCTGTCAATCAACACACCACAGAATTAATGAATTTTTCTAATTATGTTCGTAATTTAGAATTAAGATTTATTACATCTTGCTTCAATTTTCAAGACGAATTGTTATCGATGTAATTTGATTTTCGAATACAACTTAGAATAATTGTATAAGCTTTAGCAATACTTATAGTCACGCAAATAATCTTTTCTTTTTAAGGCTCGGATTGCTTCTGGAATGCAGTGTCTCTCTTCCTCAAAGGAGTAACTTTGTTTGCAAAGTCAAGAGGTTTATGGAACTTCTCGAGATGAAAGGAAAATGGAAGTTGAAATTTAGCCCCTATGGATACGCTCTGTTAAAATTGGACCCGCTGACACTAATTGGTCGTGATTTCATAAATCCCTTCACAAGGTTTTATTTAGAGGGATACCTTCAAACTGTCCTTACCGCCGACTTAAGCGGTATCGTTTACAATAGTTTGTTCAATAAAACCACCGATAAAGAAATGAGCCACAACGTCAACTACCGGATTTTGTCAAAGTTCTTTGAAATGTCTGCGATGGCTGGAGGGGTATGACTAACTTTTTGTTTGTTTGTTTGTTTGTTTGTTTGTTTATTGATTACTACTACTACTACTACATACTACTACTACTACATAATACTACTACTACATACTACTGGCAACTAGATACACATTGCCTATATAGTTTGTTGGGTCACTCTTGTCACCCGATTTATAGATTGGGCTTATAAGGCCTTGACACCAAATATCTAGTATTTTTCCACATTGTAAAATGAGGTTAAAAGTTTGATGTAAATAGGCAGAAGTGATTCAAGGCTCGATTTGATCATTTCGTTTCTTTTTTTTTTTTCTTCTTATTTTGTCAAAGAAAGGAGATTTCTTATTTTTCAATTTCTTCACTGCTTGACGTATTTCTTGCTTATCTCATGATTTAAATAGTTAAGTTTTTCTTAATGACTGTAGCTCTGTATAGACTTCTTCATTCATTAGAATGTAAAGATTGAAAGCGTTTTAGCCAAGTTTCTTCCGAGATTGGGGCGGGAGCATTTTGGACGACAGTATCGTTCCTAGATTTCAAACAACTCCAAAACGATGCTTTGTCGGGATTCAGTGTTAGTTCGTCGAGTTGCAGAGATTTTTCGGTCTGAAATTCTTTGCTTTTTGAGAACCAAAATAAATTCATTATTATATGTAGATGATTTGATTATCCTATCAAGATCCAAAATAGCATTGCAAAACTGTTTGAATACGCTTTCTTAATATTACAAAGCATGGATGCTTCAAATAACTCCGAAAAAACTAAAACAATGAGATTTCAAAAACGCTGAAGGAAATCCGTTGATATAAGTTTCAAGATAGGCTTCGAGGCAATTGAAATTGTTCAAGAATACACCTATTTAGGCACACGTTTAACTCCAACTGGAAACTTTACCCTTGCAACCGAACACTTAAAAGAAAAAGCCTTACACGCATTCTCCAGTATACGAAAACATACACTTCTTGATAGACTTCACCCTAATACAGCATTGCAGATTTTTGACACTATGATATTTCCGATCTTAAGCTACAACAGTGAGGTATGGGGTATGTATACTAAACAGGATTTCAAAAAATGGGATAGTTCCCCGATAGAAAAAATTCATCTCCAGTTCAGCAAACGTTACCAAGAAGTAAACAATAAGGCCTCGAACTTAGCCTGTAGAGCTAAACTTGGAAGATTACCTCTAACTATTCCAATTAATGAAAAAATTACGAAATATTTTGTTTATTTAAAAAACAAAGATGATGAATCTATAGTAAAACAATCTTTTCTTATGTCGAAGAATCTACATCTCTTTTATAACTCGGGATTTTATTCCAATTTTATGAGCATGATAGCACAATACCGTTCATCTAACTTAGGTCCTGAATCTTTTGATAACGATCAAATTAGCAATATACAACTACTATAAAAGAAAAATATATATTTTTCTGGCGCCATAGCCTTAAACATTCTGAAAAAATTGAATTTTACAAAGTTTTTAAAGAGGAATACTCTTTATCTGATTATTTACACCAGCTGAGAAATTTTAATGAGAGACGAACTTTAGTGAAGTTTAGGATTAGTAATCACAAACTTATGATTGAAGTTGGTCGATATGATAATATACCCAGAGAAAGGAGATTTTGCCCATTGTGCAAATCAAATCAAGTAGAAAATGAAAATAATTTCTTGTTTCAGTGCAATCGATACACTTTGCAGTGACAAATTTCTTAAATCGAATCAATGAAATAATACCTGACATCGAAAGAAAATCGACCTACGAAAGCTTAAACCTTCTTATGAATTCTAATGAATGCAGCGTAACTAAGATAGTTATAAAGTTTATATCCACATGTATAAATATACGTGATACATTATCGATATCAAATAAAAGAAATGTATTTAAGAAGAATATTAGAGTATTATTAGCCTTGTTTTGTTATTAATCAGTTTTCCTTTTGCAACACTGTAAAATGTTATGGTCATGCAAATAAAGTTTATTTCTACTACTACTAGTACTACTACTACTACTACTACTACTACTACTAGTACTACTACTACTAGTACTACTACTACTACTACTACTACTAGTACTAGTACTACTACTACTAGTACTAGTACTACTACTACTACTACTACTACTACTACTACTATTACTACTACTACTACTACTACTACTACTACTACTACTACTACTACTACTACTAGTAGTAGTACTACTACTACTACTAGTACTACTACTAGTACTCTATCCCACCTCTGTAGCTATTACTGCTACTAAGATTTAATGGTCAGTATGGACGGACAAAGCTTCTTGGTGTAAGCTAATGGACAAAAAAATATACAACACCAGCTTTAAACGAAAGCTTAGGTAAGCTATACACATACATGTATAGCATGTGATTTAGCTTATGTACTGAATCACTCGAACTGGCGACTAAGAATTCTTCAGTCGTAGAACAAACCTCTGTGTTTTTTTCTTCAAGGTTAATAACAGGCGGCCATCGAAGTACGAAGCCTTTATTGACGACAAGACTACGTGGATAAGTGACAGGTTCTTCACTCAACAGCGTCTGGCAGGAATCAACCCTATGTCACTGAGACGAGTGACTCTCAAAGCTGGTAAAACTTCCTTTAATAATGGTGTCGCTAGAAGAACAATTACCATCTTTCAAGTTACAGAAAAACATTGATAACTTTTTTTAGCCACTTTTCAACTTTGGATCGTACTCGATAGGTTTTTTCAAACGCTGGCTCTTTGCCGGCTCTTACACTTTCTTTCAGCAGTAATGATATGGAAAGAACAATGTAAATAACTGTCATCCATCTTCTAGTGATTATGGCAAGAAAGCTGATATTTATTATGATTATATGGATGATGGTGATGGTAATGATGATGATGATGATGATAAAGGGTAATCATTATGATGATAATAGTCATATTGAATATAATGATAATAATGACGATGATGATGATGATGATGATGATGACGGTGGTGATGATGATGATGATAACAATAATAACAAGACAGGAACGAATGCAAATAAAAATAAGTGTGCACATGTCCTACATTGTTTCCTTCAATCATTCCTTTATCCTCATCCAGGTCCAGTAGGGTTGGATTGGGACACACTCTATAAAACACTGAATCCAGAATTTGACTGGGAAGGTGCTGTTCAAAAAGCTTTGGGAAGCGATGACACGTTAGAAGAGGTATTATTACCGTCCAAAACATAAAAGCCAAAGGCTTTAAAATACAACTTCTTAAGCCGCACCAGTTCGAAGGAAAGTTTCTTATTAAAGCGCTTAACTTTAGAACAAAGGTATTATAATTTTTATTTTTTTGTAAATTAAGCCGACTAATTGCGTGGGGGGACACAGACTAAGTCCAGAACTGTCGCTTAACTAGTGGGTTTGGAGAAAAGCTCCATTCTAAAGTTCAGTTTTGATATTTATTTCTCTATTCGTTTACTAATTTGTCTAATTATTTATAAATTTTAATCAATTTATTTATCTATCTTTTGTTTTCAGGCCATTTATCAGGGTCGAGTCTACGTTCTTCGTTACGAGTTGTGTGACGACCTACCCAGAGAAAAAGTGGACCTTACTGACAATGATCCCAACAGGACAATGTGGGACACACTCTCGCCCATTGCTCTGTTTGCGTCTAAGCAAGATTTCCTGACAAAAACCAATGATCTTGTCCCTGTAGCCATCCAAATGGACTACACTCCAGGTTCAGTGTATTAAAGATTTAGGAAGTTAATATTTACTAAACATTACCTTTCCGCCATAATCTTGTTAGCCTTGTTTCGCCGTACTTCGGAAATCGAATAGTTTGGGCAATGTGATCATTTTATATTTCCTTTTTTTTTAAGCGACTAAACTGCTGGCCAAGTAGTTATGGGATTATTTCTGAGTCAGGTAAAAATCACTTTGAGGGAAAAAAGCAGGTCAAAATAGCCTGAAAAGAACGAAATTATAGGAAAGAGGAAGTCAGTCAACGAAAAAAAAAAAGATCTGCTGTCTGATTTAAACTGTCTGTTAAGTTGGGATGAATCATGTAGACAGTATGAAGTATAGGTACATAGTAATAAATCTAGTACCGTTTTGCAAATAGTAAATGAAATAACCAGTTGGCTGAGCTAACATCTTTTCCTCATCAGATTCATCTGTATACACTCCTGATGATGATGACAACTGGATGTTGGCCAAATTGAATGTCCAGGTTACAGATCTCGGATATGCACAAATTGTGGAGCATCTTGGCAAGGTATGTCACAACTAGAAATTTTTTATAGGCACTCCTGGAAATTCCACGGGTGCCTTCGATTTAATGCAAAAAATAGGATCGGAAAAGGCAATTGTTCGATGAAATCCGGCTGAATTGTGGCGTATTGCGAAAGAAAGAGCTCGAAGCTTTTGTTGAAACTTTTTAATTTGCTGAGCTGAGTTTGAAATGATGAACAATTTACGGCAGCAAAGGGATTGCCCGAAATGGCGACAAGGGCAAAACAACTGAGCTGCTTCACCCAGAACATCGGGAGAATGCAAGAGCAATCGTTAAACGGATCACTAGAACAGTGAGCATTGTAACTGTTGAGGTTTGCTCCGCTGAGATGACCGTAGATCGCTATTGTGGTGAACGAGCGTACGCTCCTCACGCAAGCTTTTCAATACTCTTTTATCGACATCTTCACAAAAATAAAGCTCGTTTTTTCAGAAACGCAGACAGCTCATGTGTTGTTTCCTTTCGCTGATTTTTACATTTACAGTGTAATTACTTCGTCTGTGATGAATGAAGCGCCACTTATTAAAGAGTTCGTTAGGTCGAGAGACACTAGTTTATTTCGCTACTCGAGTGCTGTATTTTCATCGGCAGTTTGACGGAAACGTTTCTTTACTTGCAATTTACTAGCATTTTAAACACCTTTAAATATATAAAACAAATAGATTCCAAGTTGCCGTGCGTCTGTTCAGTAATAGATCAGAGATGACGTCAAAATGTGGTAAGAACAAAAAAGTGGCACACGAGGCGCAGCCGAGTGTGTCACTGATGTTCTTACCACATTTTGACGTCCTCTGTGATCTATTACTGAACAGACGCACGGCAACTTGGAATCTATTTGTTTTATATATTAAGAATTTTAAAAAAATTTTAATGATGACGTCATCTATTCGTCTGTCCTCCAATAGATCATAAGTGAGAACCAATCAGAATGCGTGCATAACTGAGCTTATTATATAAACTCTCATAGAGCACGCTATTTCAACCAATCAAAGCGCGCGTTATATCGAAAATTTCTTATAGATTTGTTTTAAAGTAGTTATACCACACGACGTTTAACCATAATGCTTGTCTTACAAGGTTCATTTTTTGATGGAGCCATTTTGCGTGGTATTGAAACGCACCCTGTCGTCCTCTCATCCACTTCATCAAATTTTAAAGTATCACTGCAGGGACGTGACAGTCCCAAATACCGTTGGTGCTCCAAAACTTGTTGGCGAAGGAGAGTTTATGGATCAGCTGTTTGCATTTGGAAATGAAGGAACCACCCAACTTCTTAAAGAAGCACATAAATTAAGCACATGGGATGTCACAGATTTTAGAAACGAAATAAAGGTATGTGATGCGTCGGTTTTCCCCCTTCACGTTTCAACCTATAAAAATTCAAAACATTTCGGTCAACCAAAACACTTTTTCAGGCTTAAAAGACATATAAATGTATTCCTATTGACCACAATATTCAGACTATATATTCGCATGAAGAATAGACAGTCAACCCTTTTCTCCAACAAAAGAGCCTAAGCAGAAGAAAAAATTGAACTCATATTTTTTCATGCAGTCCTTTAATAAACTTGTACCTAATACTTCTTTTCTTTTCCCCTTTTTATCAAGCCTTCTTCTGCCGCCCCTTTTTGTTCACATTCGGTTACACACATGTACGTTGGAGCCTTAAATCACACCAAATGAATACGACATCTTCGATCGAGTATTTTACTCGAAAAGCGTTCACAGATAATGTACTACACGTCTCAAATCAAAATGCAAGTTGAAACGGTGATCCATATATAGTACTCCAGTCTCCATTATTTCTAATGGCGTCTTTGACATGATGACCTTACCTGAATTATTGTTTAAAAGGAAGGAAAGAACTGCAGCGACATAAATAGAACAAAAATGAATTCTGTTTTATATAACTATAACTCGAGCATAGCAAGAATAGTCTACGAATAGGCCTACGAACCCGGTGCATGCGCTTGCAAAGTAATTTTAAAAGGAGCAATTTTGTGGAAACACATAGCTTGGAAATTGAGTATGTTGTGCTGTAATACATTTACAATCAAGTGTGGACTTTTTTCATTTCTTTTGGATGAATAGAAACGCGGAGTCGATGACAAGAAGCTTCTTCCGTACTATCCTTACCGTGATGATGGCGAGCAAATTTTGAAAATTATCGAAAATATGGTGAAGGGTTACGTCGACTTGTAAGTATTACTTCACGGGAAAATACTGGAAAAAATTGTAGCTCTGAACTAACTCCTAGTTATCAAGACCAACTCACTAAGAACACTAGTTAGTTAAATAATGTTAGCCCATCTACCTTGGGTGTTGGGATAACAGCAGCAACACAGTTCCGCCGAAAAGGGCTAAACCTCGTGACACCAGCTTTCCTACGCTCGCGATGGCAGTTCACGTCGACTATTTTAAAACTATATATTTTACATGCCTGTCGACGCAGCACTGCAGCGTCTTAAAAAGTTAGCTTTCTAAGGTATGTTTATACCGAGTATGATCCTTGCGTTAGAGTGATACTGTGTCCGATGTCCAATGTCCCAATGAGTAGTCAAACCTTAGACCTTCTGATTTCTGTTCGAGTGCACAATCAAATAGCAACAGATAGCTCGTGGCAGGATATGCCTTTGTGTATTAGGTACGGGTTTAAAACACTAACTTTGGACTCTCCTTTAGAAGGCAATGTTTGTAGTTGCAAAAGCAGCCAGGGCGTCGATGATGACTTCTAGTCTTGCCATACAATCATTCCATCTATCTATATCCAATTTAGTGGTGATTTTTTCAATTGTCTCCACAAAAAGCACTAATTATAACTTAGAAAACACGTTGTAGGGAATGTCAGTAAACGTTTTGCATTGTACTGTTTTCTCAGGTATTATTACGACAATGAGGATGTTAAAAAGGATTATGAGTTTGGATCATTCCTCCGTGAATTGTCTACTCGAACGATTTTTCACCGCATCTATGTAAGTGTAAAAAAGTCTGATTGTTATAGTGGTTTGTTTTTTGCTGTCTTTGGTTTTATATATCTACAATTCGTCTGCTTAAATATCTTGATCTTCGACCAGTGATGGAGGGATATATGGCGTGCACTGTGTAACTGCGGGTACCTGCTGTTGTCAGCTTAGTTTTTGGCGTCTGAATCATCGATTATTGTAACGTTACCGTCTTAGGCAAACGGACGTACATTCCTCTCCCAAGAGTTTTCGTTGTAGATAACATTGTGTTATATTTAACATTTTGAAATCATTAAAACTTAAACAGATAGCCTGGGATGAGGCACAACTGTAAACATTCTAGGTTACGGTGTTGCTGGGGCGAGGCGTTATCGAAGATGGTCGCCATGTTGGGATTTTCCGAAAAGATGCAGATTCTATTAAAGCAAAAGAATGTGGCCTGATGCGACCTTGTTTAACGATTTGTTTCCTTTTAACACATTTCTCAACTAACTTAGAAAACGAAAACAAAACACAAAAAAACAGACAAAACAAACTTAATACTGGACTTCAATCACTTAAACACTGAAATACGTTAAGTTCGCAGTGCTACATAAAATGCTTTATTCTGCGTTTTAACAGGTCAAAGGATTACCCTCAAAGATTGCGACTAAAGATGAGCTCTGTGACATTGTGACCCGCATTATCTCACAACTGAGCGTCCAACACGCTGCTGTAAACTATCCCCTGACAGACTATGGTTTGTACACTCCCAACCTACCAACCAAACTGTACAACGATACCAGGCTGAAGGAAGGCGAATACGGTGTACAACGTCTGCCAAACATAAACACTTCCTCCGTAAGTTGTGCGACCATCTTGAACACCTATACGCTGGACATGGCATGATCACAGGTTTAATCATGTGGATTTAGCTTGTGCCGTTTGAGCAATTTTCAACTGAGTGTCGAAAGTAATCCGAGATTGCATTGGTTTTGCTTTACTGTGTGTTGTGATTGGTCTAGAAAACTCGTGCCACCCTCTCAGCCAATCAGATGCAAAACTAAAAAAAATCGCGACTCGGTCACTCGTGCGTTTGAATTTCGTGAATCTGGACTAAATCATTATTTAGCTCCTTCATTGACCTTCCCCAACACAATGTACTCAGGGGCACATCGGAAATGCATTGTACACAACGTTTTTCCAAACAGAAAAAATGAATAAGGTGGAAGGGGAAAACGTGTCTGTTACAGTTTATGAGCTCTCTACGGTAACATAAACATCTGCTTCGAGGGACAATTTTCCTTCAGGGTATCTTTGGCGTTTCTGTTTTCCTCAGACATTCTATTCATACGCAGTGATGTGACTGTACGCCAGTTATGGTTGTGGCATGCCGAGTTGCCGTCAGTCAGTTGTTGATTTAGAAATTTACCCAAGGAGCCAGATAGGCAAACAGTGTTTAAACCTACACGCCCGTCAATCATACATAGGGAGTCAGCAATTAACACCTATCTCAGGCAGTCAGTAAACGCAATCAACCTTTATGCCAGTCGGTTAGTTAGGCAGGCACTCCGGTAGCAAATAATTTATTGAATTAGTGCGTTCGTACTCCACTGATTTAAAAAGCCATGATACACTTGATAGAAAGACGGTGAGTAGAACATTGATTAAGTTTTAACATCAGATAGTCAAAACTAACTTTTTTTCTATTTTCACTCCACAGATCGAAGCCAGCTTTAGTAACGCGCTTTCGCTGTTCCGCTTTGACTCCTTGTTTGACTACGGCAACGAACTTCTTGATCCTGAGGCCGTCAAACTCGTCAATGGTTATTACACTTACCTCATGAATGTTATTCAGCCTAAAATGCAAGAAAAGAACCGAAAGAGGAAGGAAGATAATTATTTGACCTATCCGTACTTCATTCCAAGATGGCTGCCAAATGGAGTTCAAACCTGATCCACCACATTCTCAAAAACGAACTGTCCTTACACTTTCTTTTTCACTTGACGTAGCTTTAGAAAGTACTACACATGCATTGTTTGTTACATTGGTAATTAGTTCAAGTTTTTAAAAATTGGGGAGCTTTCGTGCATTAAACCGACCTCTGCCACATTCTATGTGGCTTTACCTGCATCAGTAAAATTGTTTTAAGGATTTGATGGAGCCAGCTGTGAAATTACACACACCAGCCGGCTTATTACTTAAAAGAAGCTGTATTTAGATATTCATTGATTTCTTAAAGTGTTATATGCGTGTTTTCTTTTTCATACGGCCAGCAGTGTGCAAGGGAAGTTACTTTCTTTACTTCATATTTCAATTGCACTGTTTGCAACTACTGTAGCATAAGAGATTAAACATTTTCTTTTTGTGATGAATTTGCTATAGCCTTTATTTTATTAGCAGTTTACATTTGTGGTGTCCCAACAACGAAGTCCGTCTATTTTTTTTACTTCGTGATAAGACTGGACTTGCTGAACAACGTATGCATAACAACGCATGTACATCACTCTTTTTTTTTTTTTTTTTTTTTTCACCAACGGTTTCCTAACTCCAAAGAGCGTTATACAAGAGTACTTATCTCCTTTTCGCAGCAGCAAGGTGCAAAATGTGAGTGTGCTGCTAAGGGGGGGGGGGAAGTGAGGGAAAGAGTAGGGGACGCCTGCCATTTGTGGCTATTCAATTTTAGACAGGGCTCAAATCATTTTTAGTTAAGAATACAAAACAGGGTTAAGTACGCAATAGACGGCAATGAAAATATCCTTGAAGAAAACCAAATACAACATCACAAGAATCAGGAACTCTTGATGATAGCAGTTCTTTTGTTCTTTTGATCAACAGACTTACTTATTGAATGCGCTTATTCTTAAAGGCCCATTTTCAACCTTGATGCCACGCGCGCCGCGACCCAATTTCCTGTAACACGAAATTCCCAGATCACTGTAAACCTTCTAAAATCGTCTTTCTCAAGAGCCATCCTGGACATATAGTCAACTGTTTTACGGTAAATACATTCGCCGTTCGTCATTTTACAGTTTCCTTACAGTATTTTGGATTTTGTCCGGAAGAATCCGAAGAAAATTCTCTTGGTGTCACGCTTGGATCTCTTCGCACTCTGTGTACAAGGTCAGCGAAACGGACGACGTTAGAATTTTTTCACTTTCTAGAAGCGCTTGAGGATTGTAAATGAAGGTAGAATATTTTCCAACGAAAAATTGGTATATTTCAGAGAGAAATATGGGGTTATTTGAGGACCGTGTCCCGCCGTGTCATTGAAAAGTTAAGTGTCAAGCGTTTGAATGGCTTCGTACTTTGTAAACAGGGATAGCAAAAAACATCAAGTTCGAAATTTTAGGCTGCCTGGAAGCGCTTGAGGATTTTAAATAAAGGTAGAATGTTTTCGTATAAATATTTTTAGGATTTCGAAGAGAAATATGGAAAAATATCGGACTGCCGGACGTTTAATTATTTTAAGTTTAGTCACTTCACTGCAGGAATGTCAGCGACACTGACAGTTTGCGTTACGATTCTTATTTGCTGCTTTGCATGCACAACAACCTCGACCACTCTTCCGCGCGCAAGCTCCCGGCTCTCCACAGGCAGAAACCTGCAACTGACTCTTGGTCCTATTTAATAAGGATAGTAAACTTCAATTTAAAAAAATTGATGAATGGATGAAAACGTGGTGGATCAACATTTTCGCCTTCTTCGAAATACTTGCAAGGATTTTCGTGTTCCTCTTTAGCAACAACCAATCCATAAGCGTTTACTGCCTCGGAATCTACAAAATCAATGGATTCATCTGATTCCATGCCGGATTAAAACGTATAGAATTGTTTTAACCAGAATTACTTTGACAAGCTCTTCAAATTCATCGGAGAAAACGCACGAGGTATTTTGAGACAACGTAACAAGGTAAAAATAACTGACCAATCAGAGGCGCTATTTAAACAAAAGGGGTGGTTCAAAACAAAAACAAACGATTGCGTTGCATCGAGGTTGGAAATGGGCTAGAACTTACGTGATCTAAGAGCAATGACAAACACTCTCACCTGGATAATACATCTATACTCCAGTAATATAATATGGATTTGTCGTATTTCAATAATCGTCGGTCAGGATTTATATAAGCAACATCATTTCAATGGTAGCCTCATTTCACGTAGTGCGCGCAGCAGCCGAACTTATCCTTCGTGGAGATAAGGCCACTGTCCTGGGGGGGATCTGTTCCCAGAGAAAAAAAAAGATGTATTTGCAACCCTGGTCCAGACAAAAATTGTGAAAATAGGTACCCAATTCCAGACAGTTATCCACTCATAGACAATCAGTTTCTTAGACAATCACTTTCTTCTTTTAAACCGTTTATGATTTGTGATTAATCAGAATTCTGGGAAAAGGCGACCCTGTTCCAGAGTCAAATCTAAAGCAAAAGATACCCTCTTCCAGAGGAAAAGGGTGATTTCTATACCCTGTTTCAGAGACAGAGAGGCAAAAAGCATACCCTGTTGAGCGGCACATATCCGTCAAGCCCATATATGGCTCCCCAGGCTCCTGTCCCAACCAACCCGGTGTTGCAGGAGAACTGAAACCCAAAATCAAGTAATTTTTTTCAACATAGCTTGTTCAATTATGCACTAAAAACGATGTTACGTCCTTCTTTTCCGCTTAAACTGAAGAAAATTTTCCATGCAAAAAACGAAAGTTTTTCGTTATATTTAGGTCGATGTGCTGTCGTGGTACGGCGACTCAGAACACACATGTCAGCGGTTCCTCTCAAAGTTGATGACGTAAGTTATGGGGAAGACAGTGAACCAAGCGTAAACATGGCAGGAGAGGCGATGTGGCGTTATGAGCGGGCTTTGAAACGACAATGCGAGGAAAGAAATTGATCGGAGTGCTTCTGCTATCCAAAACTTAGTAATCAAAGCATTTGAGGATTGTGTAAGTGCAATATCGCATCGCTGGCGTAACTCGATAATGTCGCTGAAACGCAATGAAACGATCGAATGTGCAACAAGTTTTGTAATGTAATTTAAGCAGTAAATGTTTTCGTGGTAGTGTCTTGACGAACATTTTGTGTAGAGTGTGTTAAATACAATTGGTTGAACCTTTCATTATATTCTCCAGGTTCTATTTCGTTGTTAAGAATCGCTTTGCAAGGTGTTGGTAGATAGATGGCCATGTGGCACTCCAAAAGTTAATCAATTAAAATCAAGATCTGGGTCCTTGAACTTAACAACCTCAATCTTATTTTAAGAATGCCAGGCGTTGAACTGAAAATTGTTTTCAGTGTCTGAGTATTGTTTTAAGATTTGTTGAAATCGCCAAGCATTTTAATTATGGATGCTTCAATTAATTCTTATTTTAAGAGATTTGGTTATTGATTTAAAGATTAGGAATTCAATTTAAACTCAGACCGGCCCTATTCCTTTCCTGGTCGAATAGTGAGGTTTTGACAAAAATTATTTGCCGAGGTCTTAAAAATACTAATCATCAAAATTAATTGCATCAGACAGAGTGAACTCCGAGCCACTTATCAGAGCATAAATTATTTTATTTTTGACTATCTATTGAACGGTTAAATACATTACAAACACAAAGGCTGTTCCCACATTGTCACTATGAATGACACTAAAACAACTAAAACGTTGTGTCAAAATCCTGTTATTAATTTCAAATTATATTACTATCAAATATGATTTGACTCAGAACTTGTGTTGAAAATATTGTAACTAAACTGAAACAGTATTATAAACCAAGTCACTACAGAAAGGGACTCCTCTCATATAAAAGTGAACTACCAAGGGTGAAATCTAAAATGACCAAATGCACTGTTACTGTTATCCTAGCCTAGAACCTTTCAAGATTTGAAATTGTAATTGAAATGACAGAAACTACCATGCAATTGTATGGTTTGTTGGGCATGTGTGCTCCGATGAAGCTGAATTTTCCTTTTTGCAAAAGAAAACCGCTTTTTTGATGCTCTTTCAAACGTGTAACAAACTGACGTTTGGTCTGTCCGATATAATCGTTATCACAGTCATTGCAATGAATAGAATAAATAGCGTCGGTTCGTTGTTCTTTCGTAACAGGATCCTTAGGTTTAAAAAAAAATATGCCCCAAAGTCTGAAAAGGTTCTTGAGCAACTTAAACGTTGCGGCTATTCAAAATTCTCTTGATGGGTTCCGTAACACCCTGAGAGCGTATGGACCTGACTAACATGTAAAGTTGTGTCATGCAGGAACGCAGATAATTTTGTAAAAATTAAACGAACTATTTCGGTATCTTTCCAAGTTCTATGCCTTGCCTTACTGGAAACTCCAACTCGAAAATCCGGCTCGAAATCCGACTCAAAATCCTAACTCGAAGGAGTGTTTATTCAAAAGTAGAATTTCGAGTTCGTATTACGCCCTATCAACAATCGGTTTTCGATTGCTGTTCAAGTGACTGCTCGATAAAGGAGGATAAACTCCAAATCCTAACTCGTTAACAGCTCCTAACTAACAATCCTAACTGATACAGCTCTAACCAGTCTTTCTTCATTACTCATTTGATATTGCATTTCCAGACCAGAATGCAAATCAAGCAAATGATAAAAATCCGCAATTATCGAATGACAAATATAATATTTTGGTATTGAACAATCATCCGTTTTCCTCAAATTTGAGGTCCAGTTTGGTAAATACATATGATTTTTCTGTGCTTGCAATTCTTAAAAAATAAACTAATGAAAGTAAAGTCAAATTACAAACATAGAATCATGTATGTTGATCGTGAACGCACGAGAAACCAGTCTACGGATTGAAAAGAAGTTTAGGGCAAGTTTTAGCCCAGAAGATTATTTGCCTTTTCCTTTTCAGGGAACGTTTTTTTCCCAAAACATGCGTCAAGCAAATGTGAGTATTTTCAAAGTCACTTTTGACCTGTTTCTTTCTTGGAAGGTGTCATACCATATTACGTATTACGTATTACGTAATACGTAATACGTATTACGGCGAATCACTCAGAACTTTTTCCATAGTCATAGAAAGCCGCAGAAATGTTAACGTGAGGTTTGACTGATTGAAAATTTCACATGGTGATTAATTTTATTATCCATTATTCTCCTGGGTAATTCCTCATCAGGCAGGTACAACAACAGGATAATAGTACCCAATGTGAATAAGTTCCTTTCCACCTGTTAATAAGGTCGGACAGCACTTGCGTTGTTATCAAATGCAAGAGCTGCACTAACATTCAGACAAGAATCGCCAGCAAACAAACATTTTCGGAGAAAACGGTGGGAAATAATTTTATTTGTGCTTAGTTGTAGAGTATTTCGTTTACACATAGAGCTATGTAAGAATGGCATGGCCACGCAAAGGTATTTTCTGGTAAATGAAAGAAAAGGAAAATGAAAACTGTTGGTGTCTCGATGAAACCCAGAAACTAAGTCAAAAAGTCGGACGACTTTATTTCTAGCAACAAGAGGCTTAATTACTGTGGTAAGAGAGTAAATTATGATGGAGAAGATATTAGCTTAGTCGGGTGATTTCATACAAAATTATAACATAGCTAGCAGAGCCGCGCAATCAAATTCAGTATACGAAAGCGTGCTCAAAATCCCGATAGTGCACGGTGATAGCGTGAGCAAATCGCTTCGCCAGAAATTTTTTTTCGCGCGAGCGGCCATTATTAGCGCCGGGAAAAATAATATGTTTCGCGACAATAATGGATACAAACAGAGACTCGGCCCACCAGTCCCAAAACGAAGACAATTTCCGACCTTTTCCCTTGGGCTTGAGTTCTTAAATGAGGCAGAAAAAGAGAAAAACAACGGAAAAGGAGACTCGGCATCAGCGCCGTCACGATTCGCTTCACTGTCCGAGGGTGAAATGCAACAAATTTTGACAGAAAGACACTCTGGTAAAACCAAACAAATGACAAACTGAATTTTGCATTTAAACTGCTGTGAAATAAAACTCGAGCTTTTAACAAAAAATTTGAAATAAAACCAATTCCTATTTTGCTTAATATTTCGCTTACCACGAACAATTACTTCTGATATTGTTGTCCGTTTTTCGCGTCGGATTTGATGCACAATTCCACCGGCTATGTCATAAAACAATTGTTTCATGCTTTTAGCTGCGCACTATCGAGTTATGGAGTACGTGGGATGGTGGGATGTGCGCTATCGAGTTATGGAGTACGTGGGATGGTGGGATGTGCGCTATCGAGTTATGGAGCACTCAAGAAGCTAGAGTTGCCCTCGGCTCTTGCCTCGGCAACTCTTACGCTTCTTTCGTGCTCTCCAAACTTCCCACGTGCTCCATAACTCGATAGTGCACGCTAAAATATGAACCAATTGTTAAGCAGCGGTCCCTTTCACTTTTTTTTTAATTTTATTTTTCACTTCCATCTATGTCTGCCGCCTTCGCCAAACCTTGCATAGTTTTGCGAGAAAAGTTAAAACGTGAAGAAAGATGTGAAATTCGTTTCACAAGTGCTGGAAAGCCACTTCAAGAACTCAAATCCCAGCATATTCTGAAAAAGAGCACGTCAATTGATAAACTAAGTATTGTATTGCTCCCACGAAGCGACTATACTCGAAACTTCAGGTTTTCCAAACCTCGCTACGGTGGTTTTCGCTTCCTTTATAAACTCATGGTTGATTATTAACCAAGTTTTTCGTTTTTCTCGACGATGCAGCAGCGTAAACAGATCTTTCAGAGACTGGCAAGCTCGCTGTCTAACGCCAAGTTTACATACAAGCACTCCTCTTGATTTGAAATTCTATACCTCGAACTTCCTTTCCATAAATATTCCAAAAGGAATTTGTTAGATATTGGATCACTTTAATGGCAAGCCAACAATCAAATTGGAAAATATAATTTTCAACAAAACTTTATACTGTCCAACTCGAACAGCTGAAAATTTTTCATGCGTTATGCTAAACTCTCTAAGTTGAGTTTTGCTGAAAAATTCCTCATTTATGGCAGGTTATATTAGATTTTCTCACTCCATCCTCAACTTTTTGTTGTAATCTTTTGGAACCCCAGTTGCATGCACTGATAACTTGAAAATGAATGAAAGAATGTGTTCCTAAAGTAATATCTAAATGTCCCCACTTTTCAACTTAAAATGTTTAGTAACTCCGGCCGTTATAATTGTGTGAGTGTCAGAAATAAAACGAGTTTTTGCCGGAAGGATCGTAAAAGTTTTCAAAAACAAGTAGGAGACTAACAAGGAATCCGAGTCTTGAATAATTGATTAGTATGAACAATTCTTAAACGAAACAAAGCGTATGGACCTGACTAATATTAAAAATTATGTCATGCAGGACCGAAGATAATTTTGTGGCCCGCAAAAATTAAACGAAGTATTCCGGCATTTTTTCAAGTTCTATGCCTTGCCTTACTGGAATCTCCAACTCGAAAATCCAGCTCGAAATCCGACTCAAAATCCTAACTCGAAGGAGTGTTTACTCAAAAGCAGAACTTCGAGTTCGTATTACGACCTTCAGTCGCCAACAATCGGTTTTCGATCGCTGTTCAAGTGACTCCTCGATAACGGAGAAACTCCAATCCTAACTCGTTAACAGCTCATTCAGTTGCTAACTATCCTAACTGATACAGCTCTAACCAGCCTTTCTCCATTATTCATTTAATATTGCATTTTCAGACCACAATGCAAATCTAGCTAATGGAAAAAACCGCAATTATCGAATGACAAAATACGTTTTAAAATTAAACAATTATCCGTTTTCCTCAAATTTGAGGTCTAGTTTGGTAAATATATATATGATATTTCTGTGCTTGTAATCCTTAAAAAATAAAAAAATGAAAGTAAAGTCAAATTAAAAACATAGAAACATGCATGTTGATCGTGAACTCACGAAAACCCAGCATCCAGATTAAAAAGAAGTTTAGGGCAAGTTTTAGCCCAGAAGATTGTTTGCCTTTTCCTTTTCAGGGAACTTTTTTTCCCCAAAACATGTTTCCAGCAAATGTGAGTATTTTCAAAGTCACTTTTGACCTGTTTCTTTATTGGAAGGTGCCAGACGAATCACTCAGAACTTTTTCCACAGTCCTAAAAGGCTGCAGAAATGTTAGCGTGAGGTTTTTTGACTGATTGAAAATTTCAGAATGTGATTAATTTTAAAAGCCATTATTCTCCTGGGTAATTCCTCATTAGGCAGGTACAAAAGCAGGATAATAGTACCCAATGTGCATAAGTTCTTTCCCACCTGTTAATAAGGTCGTTGTTATCACATGCAAGAGCTACACTAACATACAGACAAGAACCGCCAGCAAAGAAACATTTTCGGAGAAAACGGTGGGAAATAATTTTGTTTGTGCTTAGTTGTAGAGTATTTCGTTCACAGATAGAGCTATGTAAGAATGGCATGGCTTTGCAAAGGTATTTTCTGATAAAGAAAAAAAAAAGGAAAATGAAAACTGTGGGTGTCTCGATGAAACCCAGAAATTATGTCCAAAAATTGGACAATTTATTTCTGGCAACAAGAGGCTTAATTACTGTAGTAAGAGAGTAAAATAGAATGGAGGAGATATTGGATTAGCCAAGAGAGAAACGTGAAGAAAGATGTGAAATTCGTTTCACAAGTGCTAAAAAGCTTCTGCAAGGACTCAAATCCCAGCATAGTTGTGACCCTCCACGGGATTTCAGGGAATAAGGTGAACGCACGCACACGGTACACTCGCACGCTTAACCAGAGAACTAGCTTTTAGCACGTTAGGTGCGTGTCAGTTACTTGCCTCATTAACTTGGCAGCCATTGTCTTGCTTCGCACGGTAGAAGCAAAGGAGCGTGTTAAGATCTTGCTCGCAACTTTGCACGATACAACACATTGACCGTGCCAATTTTATAACACGCCTCTTAAAGTTAAAGCTGCTTTCGATTTGTACATGGAGCGGGGAATCTGTTGCTAAAGGATTCACAAAGATTCGGTACGTTAGGTGTGTGTTAGTTACTTGCCTCATTAACTTCGCAGCCATTGTCTTGCTTCGCACCGTAGAAGCAAAGGAGCGTGTTAAGATCTTGCTCGCAACTTTGCACGATACAACACATTGACCGTGCCAATTTTATAACACGCCTCTTAAAGTTAAAGCTGCTTTCGATTTGTACTTGGAGCGGGGAATCTGTTGCTAAAGGATTCACAAAGATTCGGTACTGGGCTTATGAGGGACCTTAAGCAAGCCACGACGGCTTGGACATGGAAAAACAGGACATGAAAAAACAAAAGAACTAATAGGTAGAACAATAGCTCAGCACGTGCGTTTTAAAAGTTTGTACATTTCTTGACCGTCCTATGCAAAACAACAACGTGAAATCATCACAATTTTTGTTGTCTGCGAACCGAAACCGCGACAGTAAATTATTTTAATTTCCATTTGGAACACAGCGCTTCTTTTATACGTTCTGCGGAAGTTGAGGTGTGGCACCGTATGAGACGGTAAACACCTGCAGCCATTTTTGAAATTCTAACTAAAGGCAGAGGTTAATTTTTTAATCGAATTCCTTCTTGGCGTCGCCGTCCTGACCGCTTAAGACCCTTATAAACTGCGTGAAGCAATAAGGATTTATAATTTACAAAGTAAGAATTAAGTTTTAAAAAGTAATGTGTTCAAACTGAGCTCCTCTGGACCTTGTGAAACACGTCGTGCTCATTGAATTCCTTGTGAAAATCCTGAGGGAAAGAGCCATGATTTGCCGTGAATGTTTTCAGTACAACTTTCGGATAGGACAAAAGATCCTCTTCATTTTCGCTTATATTCTGTAAGTAATATACTTTACAAACACTACTCTCACAATTTTAAGAAGCTGACAAACACAAGTGAGAAAGTGAGCTGGGTTGTACAAGATAAGCTAACGTGTCAAGGAAACAAAATGATTCTTTCATGCCATTATCGTGCGAGCGTTTTATAACGTGTCGTATGCGTGCGTTCACCTTATTCCCTGAAATCCCGTGGAGGATTACATATTCTAAAAAAGGACTCATTGATTGATAAACTAAGCATTGTCTTGCTCCCACGAAGCGACCATACTCGAAACGTCAGTTTTTCAAACTTCGCTATGGTGGTTTTCGCTTCCTTTATAAACTCATGGTTGATTACTAACAGATTTTTTCGTTCTATGCCTTGCCTTACTGGAAACTCCAACTCGAAAATCCAGCTCGAAATCCGACTCAAAATCCTAACTCGAAGGAATTTTTGCTCAGAAGTAAAATTTCGACTTCGTACTACGACCTTCAGTCGCCAATAATCGGTTTTCAAATGCTGTTCAATTGACCGCTCAATAACGGAGAAACTCCAAATCTTAACTCGTTAACAGCTCTTAACTAACTATCCTAACTGATACAGCTCTATCCAGCCTTTCTCCATTATTCATTTGATATTGCATTTCCTGATTAGAATGCAAATAAAGCTAAATATAAAAACCGCAATTACTGAATGACAAAATACGTTTTGGGATTGAGCAAAAAAGCGTTTTCCTCGAATTTGAGGTCTAGTTTGGAAAATAGACATGACTCTTCTCTGCTTTCAATTCTTAAAAAATAAACTGATGAAAATAAAGTCATATGACAAAGATAGAAGCATGCATGTTGATCGTGAACTCACGAAAACCCAGTCTAAAACGAAACTTAGGGCAAGTTTTACCTAGAAGATTATTTGCCTTTTTTCTTTTCAGGGAACGTTTTTTCCCAAAACATGCGTCGAGAGGAAATGGCCAAAAAGGTCTTGTACGCAGCAGGGCTGTTGATCGAGAGCCTTTTCTTATGCTGTACAGCTACACAGCAATTGGAGGCTACGGGCCAGCCGGAAGTTTCCAAATTCGGTATGATGCTTCAACGCCACATCTTCAAGAGGATCACGGGGGCCGGTCTTTCAGATGTGTGCTTGCGGGGATGCTATGCTGACGTCAGATGTCAAAGTTTCAACTACGTCTTTACGCAAGACATTTGTGAGCTGAGTAACCGAACCAAGGAGGCCAGACCAGAGGATTATGTTCCGAACCCTGAGAGATTTTACTTTAAGCGAGATTACAAAAGAGGTTTTTACACTTTAAAGACATTTTCAGAGCACAAAAACTCAACCCCAAATTAAGGAATTGTCTCACATCACCTCCGTTCTTGCCCTAAGTCAAGTGGCCCCTAATATGCGTGTCCTCGCCTCCAAGACGAACATCAAGTCTTGCTTGCTTAGAGTGCTATGCTAATAGCTGCTTTTTTTCCTTCTAGTCCCTCTCGGTTCCATTCCTGAGCTGCCTGCGGAGACTTGCAAGGAAATCAAAATGAGCGAAGGAGGACAAGCAGTCAGCGGCAAATACTGGTTTCACTCGATTGTACCCGAGAAGACTGCTCTGGCTCCTTGTGACATGAAAACCGAAGGTGAATTCAAGTGTTTATTAATTCACATATTCTACAGACAAAAATCGGTTTACTACGAACAAAAACGTTAATAGAGATGTCATGGTTAGACTGCAACCCCCTGCCCCCCCCCCCCCAAAAAAAAATCGTATTATTCGTAGAGGGAAATGAAAGAATAAAGCAAACCGAAATAAAATTTAAAAAGTGAGATATCTGACGGAAACAAAGCTTTGAAGGAATGCTATAATCTCTCTTAAACTGATCGATTTGAGAACAGGTAAAATAGAATTGAAAATTTTCTTTCTTGCCACAGAGATAATCATTAAATAGCAATCCGTTACCGTTAAGAAATTTAACGAATAGGGAAGGGGAAATTTTACTTCCTGAACGGGTCGTACATAATAAAATTTTGGCTCCCGCTGGAAGCAATTGGTCTGATGAATCCACGAACGAGTAATAATTCAGCGAATTCCCTCTTTTGCTTTTAAACCGACCGCAAACTATTTGGTTTTCTCAGACGTGGACGAGTGTAATTCAACAATTCCCGTGTGTGACGTCAACGCCGAGTGCGCGAACACCATCGGTTCTCACAGTTGCTCGTGCAATGCGGGTTTCACTGGAAACGGAAAAAAGTGTGTCGGTAAGTTAGTGAATTGACTTTCGTTATTGCCTGAAGCAATTTCATTTTAAAACAAAGCAAAACCAAAACAATCCCGGCTTAATTTGGACACTCGATTAAAAAAATTACTTTAATTTAATGACCAGTTGGAATTATACCCCACACCATGTTACGTTCAATTGCTCATACGGTGAGACGCTTTCGCCAATAACCGTCATTTTCAATCGACTCTTCCCCTTGAGTTCAAACCATTTATTTTTTATGCATTCTTTCAGATGTCGACGAATGTGCCAATAAATCGGATGACTGTGGCGCCAATGCCTACTGCAACAATACCATTGGTTCCTATCGATGCACCTGCAATCCCTGGTACCAAGGAAACGGAAAAAGCTGCTATTTTCGTGAGTTTAACTTACTTTGAGATACGAGTGACCTCAGTTTGTTATGATACTCGCATTTCGCATTCTCTATCTTTCTCTATCGTCAAATGAAGCTTATAATTTTGGAAGTTAGTTCTCGAATACATATAATTTTTTAACGATTGAGTCGTTCCTGAATCGGGACCAAGATGGAACTCGTCCTAACAACGGGCTACATTATGACCCTTTACTCACTAGCATCAGTACAGATATTCTCCTCACTGTTCTCTATACATACCATATGGTACTGCCAAGGGGAATTTACTCAACAATCAAGAGCTTCATAACTTGGTGATTATTTCCTTTATTCTCATAATCCTGATGTTTTGTTCGGCTGTAATATACGGTAAGGAGAAATTAAATGTTAATCCTTCTTATGGGTTAAAGGGTTAACTAAAGAATACGTCTCCCTTAGCGCCTAACTGACCACTCCCTTCCCCCCCCCCTCCCTCATCCCTCCTCATAAAAGAAACATTATCATTGATCTTTAAAGTCTGTTGCTCACAACTATGTCGAACTTTCTATCTTGGTCAGCCTTAATTCTTCTTTTTTCATTATTATCACGTTTTTATCTCGTGGTTTCCTTTAATTCTAAGAAAGCATTGATTAGTGCAAATAAAGAGGCGAGATATCATTACGTGTACTGGGTTTAGAAATCTGGAATGTCACCCAAACACGCTTTCATCGTGTAAACACGTCTGAAAAGGATACAACGTTTCCATAAGTGCACCTCCCGGTTCTCACTGGGTCGGAAAGGCAAGTTGTGCCTCAAATCGATGTGCGTCACACAACAGTTGTCACGCTGTAATTCGTAAAAACGAAAAAGCAAGTTGTAGAGATTACCACCAACAAGATGACGAATGCAACATGACGCCAAAACTTCAAGGTAGGACAATCCTTACCTTTTCTCCCTTTTTCGGTTTTTCGTATAGGTGGCCTTAATAGTTCCGTTATTCTTACCAGCCTCGACTACAACAACTACACAGGTAAGCTGCTTTCCTACCTAGAGCCAGTCCTCCTGAGTTCAGAGTGGAGCAGGTTTGTGAAGTGTTGGCACGCTAAGACAGACGGCTGGGCGGCATCGACATTCCACAGCAACTGTGATGGGAGGGGACCCACAGTGACAATCATCAAAGTGAACGATTCCATATTTGGTGGATACACTGACGTATCATGGAGCAGTAAGTATATCTCGGCCATCAAGTTCTTTTTTTCAGTGCAAGGTTTGAAGGATTTAGAAGGACAAAGAATTAACCTTGGAAGGATTTGATCTAGCCTGGTGTCTAAAACAGAAAAAAAAAATGTCTCCTGAAGCTCGTTTCTCGTAACGCCACGAACCCAAAGCCATATCTAGTTATTCGAGTCGATCCATTTTGTTTCGTCTCATGATATTCTCGTCGTTTGAATTTCAAAACTATCCATAACTCGACCTTGAATGTAAAAAGGGCAAAAAAAGCAGCTTTTTATGGCTGGTCCCTGATCGTATACCTGTCTAATCTTTGGGTGCATTTTTGCATTTCCATTTTAATCAACATTTTAGGTTCCTGTTTTTGGTCTTACGCCACCAAAGCCTTTTTATTCTCATTTAACAACATCAAAGGATACAATCCTGTGAAGCTGACACAATACCGAAACCAGCAACACGCAATGTACACATGTTCCTCATACGGACCCACTTTTGGCTCGGGATTTGACATCAAAATACATGACGACGCTGTAAACAATCAACGTTCTTATACTTTATGCGGTGGGACGTACTCCAACCCCAAGGATTATTTAGCAGGAAATTGTGGATTTTTCACAGGAAGTTATTATTTTATTCCATCTGACATTGAAGTTTTCTTCGAAATAGGTAAGTTATTGTACAGAAACACTTAAAACCCTGTCGTAAATATACGATGAATTCATACGTAAACTCTAATCCTTGGCAACAGCCAGGGATTCTAAAAGCGCATGCGCTGAACTATATACAGCAGGGAAATACTATTCAGGTTATTGTGGCAGCAGTGGTAACTGAATTGCATCTTAGTTCCAGGATATCAATGCACATCAACTAAATCAAGGAACAAATTGATCTAGATGCCATGTTTTGCCATGAAATTGAATCGCTAAGTCGGGCCGAATCAAACAGTTCAAACCAACTGAACTGAACTTTTGGTTTTTAGTTTTCGTTTCTCAGTTTTACATGCACTTGAGAAAATGTGCTCCCGTGGAATTTAGTTGTTGTCTTTACATTAAAAATTCACGGAGAAATATTAAGTTTTAATGAGATCACATGGTTCGCACCTCGCGCTGTGAATAAGAAGGTGTGGGTCTCGACTCTTCGTTGAAAACTCCCACGGTTGTGAAAGAAGAAATAATATCTTTCTTTATTCTAGAACGTCTGTTATTGTAATTTCATTCGAGTTTCTTTTACGCACACAGGTGGCCTTGGTGCATCTGATATTCTTGGAAGCCTGGACCCCAATAAATACTTGGGAAAGCTGATCTCCTTTTTAGACCCAGTTCTTCCCACTCCATCCCATGGTAACTTTTTTAGGTGTTGGCACGCTAAGACTGACGGCTGGGCGGCATCGACATTCCACAATAACTGCGATGGGAGGGGACCCACAGTGACAATAATAAAAGTGAACGATTACATATTTGGTGGATATACTGATGTGTCCTGGAGCGGAGGCAGGCATATCAAATTTTTTAATAAGGGACGAGACAAGTTTATAAGATATCATTCCTCTTGGGATTTAGAGGGGAGGGGGGGGGAGAGGGTGCTGGAGGAAATATGAAACGATGCTCCTCTGATAGGAGCTCTTAGCCTTTATTATTTCGAATTAGCTTTTTGGCCATCAAGATTTCTTCACACCTGTATCGTCTGTAGAAATGTTTATTATTTAATACACCCGCAAAACAACATTACACCCTAAAAAATGTAGTAATGACAACACTTTGGGGTCATCTGCTTCAAGTCTCAAAACTTCTCACTCGCTTTTCTTCAGAGTAACCCCTTAAATCCTCCATAACTGTTTTTGGTACTCGTTTCTATACCCAAACTAGTAAAATATCTCCATCCCTTTCACAAATCTCTAGTCTGAGAAAAAACTCTTCGTCTAGCTCATGATAGAAAATGAACTCCCCACCCCCCTCCCTCCTCAGGGGTTTATGTCTTCTTCCAACTTTTTAATGTACAACTACATTGTTCTTCTATTTCAGCTGGTTCTTGCGCAGGTTATTCTTACGCCAGTAAAGCTTTCATCTTCTCTCTCTATAACGTCAAAGGATACAATCCCGTAAAGTTGACACAATACCAAAATCAGCAATATGCAATGTACAGATGTAATACGCATGGACCCACCTTTGGCGCTGGGTGTGGTCATAATATCCACATATCCGACGACTCTAGAAACAACGGAAACTCCCACACCAGATGCGGTTGTACGTACACGACACCCTCAGGGTACTCAACTGGTGACTGTGGTTTTTTTACAGGGGGATCTCATTTCTCTCCAACGGACGTCGAAGTATTCTATGAAGCAGGTAATCAAGAAAAACATCCCTTTCCAAGGATAAATAGTTAATATGGCCTGTAGCAAAATCAAATCGTGTATTGTAGAAATATTCTTAGAAAGTTGTGTCTCTCGAATACGGATAGGTTACTTTTTTGTCATTTCAAAGGAATGTGTAAGCTTATAAAGTCTCTTTCGCAGCATTCATTTAAGTTCGTCACACAATAAATGCACAGAGAAATATTAAGTTTAAATGGGATCACATGTTTAGCACATCGTCCTGTGAATGAGAAGATCTGGGACTATAATTTTTGTGAAATACTCTTACGGTTGTGAAAGAAGAAATAACATCTTTCTATATTCTGGAACGTCTGTTACTATAATTTACATTCGAGTTTCTTTCACGCACACAGGTGGCCTTAGTGCATCTATTATACTTAGAGGCCTGGACCCCAATAAATACTTGGGAAAGCTGATCTCGTTTTTAGACCCAGTTCTTCCCACTGCATCCCGCACTGACTTTGTGAGGTGTTGGCATGCTAAGACTGACGGCTGGGCAGCATCAACATTCCACAGCAACTGCGGTGGGAGGGGACCTACAGTGACAATCATCAAAGTGAACGATTACATATTTGGTGGATATACTGATGTGTCCTGGAGCGGAGGCAGGCATATCAAATTTTTTAAGAGGGGACAAGACAAGTTTATAGGATCAACTATCATTCCCTTTGGGATTTAAGGGGGAGGGGGGAGGACGCTAGAGGAAATATTAAACAAAACTTTATTTTTTCATATTAGTTTTTTGGCCATCAAGATTTCTTCACACCTATATCGTCTATAGAAATGTTTCCTGTTTGATACACCTGCAGAACTACATTACATCCTAAAACATCCAGTAATGCAACACGTAGACCAAAGGGGTCATTTGCTTCAAGTCTCAAAAATTTTTACTCGCTTTTCTTCAAAGTAAACCCCTCAAGTCTTCCATTATTGTTTTTGGTACTCGTTTCTATACCCAAACTAGTAAAATATCTCCCTCCCTTTCACAAATCTCTAGTCTGAGAAAAAACTCTCCGTCCAACTCATGATAGAACCTGAACTCCCCCCCCCCCTTCCTTAGGGGGTTTATGTTTTCTTCCAACTTTTTAATGTACGACTACATTGTTCTTCTATTTCAGCTGGTTCTTGTGCAGGTTATTCCTACGCTAGTAAAGCTTTCATCTTCTCTCTCTATAACGTCAAAGGATACAATCCCGTAAAGCTCACTCAATACCAAAATCAGCAATTTGCAATGTACAGATGTAATACGCGTGGACCCACCTTTGGGGGTGGTCATGATATCTACATATCCGACGGCTCTGGAAACAACCAAAACTCCTACACCAGATGCGGTTACACATACACGACACCCTCAGGGTACTCAACTGGTGACTGTGGTTTTTTTACAGGGGGATCTCATTTCTCTCCAACGGACGTCGAAGTATTCTATGAAGCAGGTAATCAAGAAAAACATCCCTTCCCAAGGATAAATACTTAGTAGGGCCTGTAGCAAAATCAAATCGCGTATTGTAAAAATTTTCTCGGAAAGTTGTGTTGCTGGAATACGGATAGCTCACTTTTTTGTCATTTCAAAAGAATGTGTAAGCCTATAAAGTCTCTTTCGCAGCACTCATTTAAGTTCGTCGAGTCTGACGAGGACTTGCCTAAGTTTCCACGGGGGTTTGTGGGTATTACATGAAAACGAAAGGTGTACGTGGTGGGGCTATTTGAAAGAACGCCTGAGGGAACAAACAAATCTCAGACATGCTTTGATGCGCTCTGGCTTAAAGATTTAATGGATGTAACCGAGAAGTTACAATTCATAGACCCAACGTTTCGACACTTAATCAGGGGTGATGGCGAAGGCACTAGACAGTAGTGTCGAAACGTTGGGTCAATTGTAACTTTTTGGTTACATTCATTAAATCTTTAAACCAGAGTAGCATCAAACCATGCCTGATTGTCCACCTGGTTGCTTTGTGAACTTTAAAACAAATTTCATTCTCTCTGCCGCCTAAAATACCGTCTGGTCGACGGGCTAAGAATTTTCTACCTCGCTGGATCAGTAATGTTAGATTATCTAGCGGGCCGAACGGGGGTCAAGAAATTATCCACATAAGATTCAAAGGCGACACCACAAATCAAAGATTATGTTCCATTTATTTGTCCAATTGTTATTTTTCCTTTTCTTTTCCCTACTCAGGCCTCGGTTTGTCCGCCATACTTCGAAGTCTTGATTACAACCAGTACTTGAAGGTGCTGTTTTCGTATTTGGACCCAGTCCTTATCAATAAAGAGCGTAGCAGGTTTGTGAGGTGTTGGCACGCAGAGACTGACGGTTGGGCAGCATCGACATTCCACAGTAACTGCGATGGGAGGGGACCCACGGTGACTATCATCAAAGTTAACAGTTACATCTTTGGTGGATACACTGACGTGTCCTGGACCAGCAGTGAGTAAAAAACAAGCAAACATCTCTCACATGTAGAACAGATAACAAATCGATTAGTTGTGGACTTTTCTAGTAGCAGTGAGTTCATCTTAGAAACAGAAAATATCACATTAACAACTGAGATACCAAAGTAGATTAACTCGTAAATAGCCTGAAAACGCGTTTGAAACGGGTTTTGACTTAAAGTCTTGTTTCGGATTTGATTTTTTATTTGATTTTGATTTGATTTTGATTTGATCCTGACAGCTCCATTTCGTGCCACTTCCCCATATATCGTTGTATCCATTATTCATATTGGAGAGCTGAAACGAAGGATGTTTAATTAATGCTCTCTTTAGATCATATGTTTCCTTTGAATAACAATTCGGACCTTATTTCAGATGCTTTTTTTGAAAAGTGAAAATATGCTCTCGAGTTCTTGAAATTTTTGCAAACAAATTAAAGTGCTCGGTTCTGGTTCGGCAAGTAAAAAAAGTATCTTTTTTAAGGTTATCATCATGAATTTTTTTTCTCATTCGTATTGTTTCTAATGCTCCTAAATCTTTTCATTTTAGGTCCCTGTGCTTATTCTTCAGCCAGCAAAGCTTTCGTTTTCTCTCTTTATAACGACAAAGGATACAATCCTGTGAAGCTCACACAAAACCAAAACCAGCAAAACGCGATGTACAGATGTTACTCTTACGGACCCACGTTTGGTTCGGGACATGATATCCACATATCAAATGACGCAAAAAACAATCAAAACTCTTATACTGTATGTGGCCACTCGTACTCTAACCCCACGGGTTATTCAGGTACATACTGTGGATTTTTTACTGGAAGTCGTAATTTTTCTCCAACTGATATTGAAGTTTTCTTCGAAATAACAAACTAAACACTAAAAACTCTGCTGTCTAAGTAAGTATTAAGTAAGTATTGTAACAATAGAGTTAATAGAGTTAGTGCCTCCTCACACAAGGCCCGGTCAACAGAACTTGCTCTGTATTCTCTCCGTGCTTTGTTGCTAATTTTCGTATTTAAAAAAGCACTCTGATCGAATAAAAATTCATAGTTTATTGTACCAATACACACATAGTTTTAGTTACAAAAGCAACAGACTGCACTTTCTATTCGTTTACTAGCGTAATAAAATACGCAGTATGTTAGTAGTTCACTCAAAACCTTCGTAGATTATGAGCAGTAATTTACAAGCTTTTCTCTTGTTCTTCTAACATCCTTTTGTGGTTTGTTAAGCCAATGAACTGATATAAAGAGAATGTTATAGTAAAAACACAGCGCATTTAAGACTGGCAAGGTTTAGGGCGCCTCCATTTAGTAAACTCTGCAATTGGAACATCATGCTGTAAGTGAGAAAATATTAGGCTGTAGAGCATTCGAAATAATAGATCTTAGAAACACCCAAGTTGTGAGCCCTTTCCCTATTGTGTATGAGGAATTTGTGGCGGGCACCGCCGTCGTGCGCTTTTATTTGCGTGGCACATACATTTTATCTTCGTCGCACGTGCATTTCATTTGCGTAGCACGTACATTTCATTGGCGTCGCACGTGCGTTTTCAGTTGCATCGCACGTGTGACCAGGCTCTACTTAGTAATACCCCTCTCCACCCAGGAGTAGAAATGGCTACCTGTAAAATGTAGGAGTCAAAGACGAAAGGTTTAGGGTTTACATACATCTGCCATACATTAACATCCGGTCAGCGGTCAAGAGAGAGGAAGTAGTACCCCTGGTGCCGTCATGTTATTTACACCAGGACATTTTGCTACAAGATTGAACTTAACCGTTAAGGTTAATAATCATATCTACTCTTTTCAACACTGAACTTACGGTAAGTTCAGTGTTGTAGATATGATAATGTTACCAGTTAAGTAATTAAGTTAGATTAATATTATGTGTGCATCATTTTAAACATTAATCAATAATTTTTGAGTGTTGTTATATATTGTTGTAACTTGGGTGTTGCGCCGCGAGATGGCGAAAGTTTTGCTTCACAGAATTTAAATGCTCGCTGTCAGTGATACGTTTTTACAAGAATTATTGAAAGAAGAAATTGCCTCTTTCCATTGAAGACTACCACACAGACATCAGTGCAATATGACGAGTAATCACAGCCAATATTCTCTTACTAATTCTGTCATAAAGAACCAACAATTCCTTTCCTTCTAATCAGAGCTGAAATTGAGCCGGCAGAAGAGAATTTAAGAATTAAGAACAGAAATTAGCGAGTCAAAATCCAAATTGACGAACGCAAACGAATTTAGTTGATGCTGGAAATCACTGATCAGATCCGCAATTGAACCAAGAGAACAACATTTTTAAATTATGAGAACACTTGTCTGTAATCACCAGATTGCAAAATTTTATTCCTTAATCTTTGGGGAACAACGAACCTTTTATTTTTTTTAAAATGAAAACCAAACCCTCCAAAGAAGCTAAAAGTAAAGATGACTGAGTCAAGATTACAAACAGTCGAGGTCAAAACAATGCCTCAAATGAAGTAACATTACATGTGTTCACCCTTAATAACCAAACATTAGTATCCATGCTTTCTAAACTGTTCTCTTTACAATCTCTGTGGTACTGACAAGGAGAATTTGTTCGACAATCAGAAGGTTCCAAAATTGGCAAGTCTTTTACTTTATTTTCACAACTTTTACATCTAAAGAAAAGGTGATACCGTAAATTGAAACGAAAAGCTAGTCACCCTTGAGGGTTAAAGTTAAGAAAAGTGGCCAGGGAAGGCTTGCTAGCTGATGATTTTGTTTATAATCCACATGTCTTTTTGCAATAATAATAATAATAAATTACATATATTTATTACCTTGGGGAAAAATTGATAATAGGGTGAGATGTGGAATAACAAGGAAAATTCAAATCAAAAAAATAATAATAAACAGTAACTAGAGAACAAAATAAGGTAAGTTTTGAGTTTGGTTAAGGAGTACAGAAAGAGCATGTAAGAAACAAAAAACCCTTAGTACTCCATGACTTAATGGAAGAGCATTGGAGCACAATGTCCTAAACCCTTTTGAAAAACATTTTTCGACAGGAAATTGGAAGTCGAGAGGACCGCTCTTAGTGAAAGCGGCACATCAGTAACTTCCACGGGTCTTACTCGGTTACCCGTGATCGTGTCACGTCCCCAGGCCGAATCTGAATAGCAATTGAACAGCGGAATGATCAGTGGTGTTAATTTCTGTCTTTTTACTTCAATTTCTGCCTCATGTCTCAGTTTCTGTTCTCATGATTTAAATGTTGTTCCCTTAATCCAATTTGGCTCTGATCAGTGACTAAATTCCTTTGCGTTGTGTTCTTAATTCTTAAATTATCTTCTACAGGTTTTGTTTCATTTTTTACCCTTAAAAGGGTTTAGGATACATCAGTTTTAAAAAGAAGGTTTGTTGTTCCCCAAAGATTAATGAATAAATTTTGATATTCTGATGATTACAGACGTACTGAATTATCCAAAAAAGGGTAGTCTAGCCAAAAATCAGTTTTAGCTTGTGGCGACGCAAAAAAAGAGAAGTGTTCTCATGATTTAAAAGTTCTTCTCTTGGTTCAATTGCGAATCTGATCAATGACTTTCAGCGTCAACTAAATTCTTTTACGTTGTGTTCTTAATTCTTAAATTCTCTTCTGCCGGTTTAGTTTCAGTTCTGATGAGAAGAAATGGAAATTGTTGATTCTTTACAACAGAATTTGACAGAAAATATTGGCGGTGATCACCCCTCATAGCACAAAGCCGTGGTTGCATTTCATTTTCCTTCTTTCTCAATTTATACTATGCTTTACTATAACAAAAATAAACAGTAAATGACAAGAATATAATTATGCAACACCAATATCAAGAACATGTCGCCCAAGGTTAAACTTCTTTTTTAATCTTATTTAATCATTAGGCTCGAGTCTTAGTCTTGTAGATTTTAACCAGTTAGAGGTGTACCTGAAATCTTTAAACGTTTTTATCCTAATTTCAGGGAATATTAAAAAAAAAGTATGTAGTTTTAAGGGGGTTAGAGGTGGATAGAGACATGAAAAGTCGGTTCCAGTGTAAAGACGAGCAAAAGGGCGAGCAAACCGCAAACGGCGATCGTGGTTCTTAGGAAAACGGCTGACTTCCGTTTTTTAGCAGGCGATTACAGACTTGCTGAGAGCCTGCTACAGACTGAGAGATAAGGAGATTTGAGATTTGCGTTTAGCCTTACCTAGCCCCGATATTTAACATATTTAAACTTACCATTAAACTTACCATTTTCAGTTTGTGTAGGAACACTTTGTCGGACAGTTGATTCTTTTGACAGAGATGTGGTTATGTCATCCAGAAAGTTAGCCTTTTAACAAGGCTTCTGAACGACATTCCGACCTCATTTGTTCTTGATGTCTCAAGCTTGTGTGAACCCTAGGTCGATATAGTTTAGTTTTAGAAAGAAATGGTCAAATATAATTTGAAACTTATTTGAACATAAAGTTTATATCTGCTCATAACTGTGCCTGTCAGAAATCAACTGTAATCCTTTGAATGCAAATAAAACTAAGTTAACCACTCGTTTATTTTCAATGTATTTCATTTTACCGTATTAATATAACCTTCGGTCTCAGTTTTCAACGACTGATTGATGCATAACAGTATTAGAGCGATGAACCCAAAGTAAAATGTTCGCACGTGCACATCACGTGCCAGATCCAACGAGTAGTTCCACCTTAGCAAAATTCCCATTGCTGGGTTTATCCTGTGCTTCAGAGCGCCTCCACATTTTCCCGCGCTTATTTACTGCTTTGTTCTTTCCCGCTCTTTTTTTCTAGTTTCACCCTTTCAATGTCTCCAAGCGCCAATCAACAGCTGTATACATTCCTATGTTCGCCATTTATCAGCCATTGCAATCGTCCTTAGAACTTGAATCGTATTAAAATAATAATATTATTACAATCTATTATTACAGCAATCTTTTTAATCTATATAAACATGATCTAAAATTTAAAAGCGCTGCTGCCTGCAGTATCATTCGAGTTGCCACTTTGCTTTACCATAGATATGAGCTCGTGTTTCCTGCGCTATAGCAGCCATAGCCTACTTTGGGGGCAGAGAGAAAAATAAAAAACCGCCTGCCTTTTTTTCCGGGTCTTCCAGTAGAGCGGTGCGCGCAAACGGAAGGTTTTCGAGTGGCCGCCCTGCTCATCGAACCATAACGGACCGCTCCTTTCCACATCCAATCAGAATGAGAACCAACTTATTTAACATGATATACAGTACCACATGAAAGGACCACTCGGTAGGTTTCATGCTTACGTAGCATGAATTACCACCACCAGGAGAAAAGGTTCAATAAACTAATGTAGAAAAGGTTGAATTCTCATCGAAAGAACCGCTCATGAATGTTCACATTCACGGATTTACCATCTTTAGATTGTGTAGCGGAGACAACTGATTATGAACAATAAAAGCTAAGTTTTTTCGTTTGTCTCACGATGTAGTTACGTGTGATGTAGATCGCGACGTTTCGACTGCATACTGCTAGTCTTCTTCAGGTGATGAGGTCGACTGGTCATGCGTGATCTTATAAGCATGATGCTCTGCTGTGATTAGTCGTTTTTCAACGGCTCTGATTGGTGCATTTCGATCCTAGCTGTTTTCACTCGGTGATTTGCTCCCTCGGCGGTCCGCTGTCGCACAGCTCTCCTGTTGTTGTGTTTTTTGATCGTGGGCATCCACGCTTCTGGAATTTCTATTCCACTATCCCTGTTGATGTTGTTAAGGTGAAGTCTCATACGAATTGCCTCTTTGACTCTGTGCGTGTTGTAATAAGGGTCACGAACAATAAACTTTACTTCGTTCCAGGGTGGCTTGTGTCCGGTGTTGTGAGCATACTCTGAAACGGCGGAGGTCTCGGTACGGGCGAGACGGACAGAGTTAAGGAGCACGATCGAGACATCGGTGACTACATCGTGAGACAAATGAAAAACCTTAGCTTTTATTGTTTTCACCACGATGAATAACCACAACCTTTTTTACGAAATCGATTATGAACTGTCAGTATATTCTCTTGCTAGAGATCAATCCTGATCATTGACCTCAGTATTGAGAGCTCGCTACGTGAAGTTCACACAAATCTGCTGTCATTTTGCAAAGTAGATTTTTAAAATTTTTTTAGAAAACAAATTTGATTCTGTTTTGGGGCTTTTCTACGCCAGTGAAAAATGACGTCATCAGTAAATGCGCCCGCAAGTCTGAAATTGATATTGGTCAGCACATAGGCATTCTTTGAGGACAAGGAAGTGATGGTGGGCGGGGACGAGGAACTGTTGTTCACAAAATGTACTCTCGACTGGAGGGGGTGGAAAGTCTTGAGCAGAAGGGGCTGGTTGCTGCTGTTGATAAGTAAACAGTAAAAACGAGGAAACATCAAGGCGAAATCAAACAACAATAATATTAGGAGCCGTTAAGTTTGATTCCTCCAATTTTCTTTCCTGGCCCGCCATAAGAGATGCGTCTGGGATGAAAAGAGCTCGGGTTATTTTGACAAGAAATTCAATGCGAATCGCTTTATGGCTGTCACGCAAGATGTCATCGCCAATGTTTTGTGCTTAGGTTACGCAGTCACGCAACACCACTGTGGAGGGGCAAGTCTTCATGGGATAGATCAAGAGCAACATTCCCAGAATTCTATGCCATTTCCCTTCTGTCAGGTCAGCCGGCAAAATGGCGGACTTACACGTGTATTTTATTTCAGCCCTCGTTTTATCTTGCTGCATACAAATTTTAGCCGGGTAAATCGTGCTCTTTCTAATCTCTTTTATATAATTTTTTTTTCCATCTGCTGTTTTTTAAAATATTTTGCGTATCATCAGGCGGGATTTTTATGCAATCTTGGGCGTCTCGAGAGATGCAAGCAAGAATCAAATCAAGCGGGCATACAGAAAACTGGCGATGAAGTGGCATCCCGATAAAAACAAGGAGGACCCTAAAGCACAAGAAAGATTTCAGGATCTGAGTAGTGCATACGAGGTTTGTTTTCATAACAATTCTATATCATACACTGTTAAGACCTTCCTTGAATATCTGTTTATGATGATTAATAATTCAACTTTCCTCAAGGTTTAAAAGCATCCCCGTTAGGCTACAGAAAATTGTCGACTTTCCCGTTTTGGTGTACTGTACCTTATGAAAATCTCAAAACAAACGTTTCAATAAATTTTAAACTTTTAAGTACATCAGTAAGTTATTGTGTTTTACAAGTTCAATTTTACTGCAAGTTTTCAATCAGCTTATCGATTCCTTAGCCTAGCGTCATTTACTTAAGCAGTAGATTACGCAAAGCTAAGTGAGTTTTCAGCTCTTTTTAAATATCAGCTGAATTTAAAGCTCCAGAATCAATAGCAGTTGTTATACAGCGCGAAATAATTTCATTGTTCCTTGTTTCGCTCCAAATTGGTTTTTGTGTTTTTGCAATACCGATAGCTCTGGAACTTTAGTCGATTCATGTGCGAGTCACGAAAGCTCAGCTAAATACTCTGTAGACGTAGATGTGAAGGATTTTGAAGAGAAGAGAAAGTTATATTTATTTCCGTGTGATTTATCATTTTTACAATGTACATTTTCGGAAAAACCAACGTAAGTTTTGCATCTTATGCAAATTGGTCAAGGTGTCTGTCCGTGATTGGTTAGTTTATCTCGGTTGACACATTGGGTCAAGAAAGTCTTATCGAGTGCATTTCAGTCATGCTACAGAGTTATTACCATGCTATTATGATTTATTTGTTTTAATTTCAAATGTGGCTTTAAGCAGAAAGTCAAAGTAAATTTTCAGCTAGGTTTTTTTTTTTTTTTTCAACTTTGTCAGTTCATTGTCATTTTAGGCAAACAGGTGGTGTTGATGGTAATTGTTTTCAAAATATTTATCTCTTAACCCTTGAACCCCCAAGATCTGATTGTTAATTCTCCCTTCTAGCTGCTATATATCTCCTTGTAAATTAGTTACAAGAATTTGGAGGTAGATAAACCTATCAACTTCTGCCTGATGAGGTCAGGTATTCTCATTATCTGTCTGCTGGATAATGTAAGGATATTATGGGAAGAAGTTACATCTCAATCACTTCTTGGTGTTTAAAGGTTGACACTGAATTTTTTTCAACAGCTTGTGTCACCAAAATAATTATATATTTGATAATTATTTTTGTGTTTCTCTAATTTTTTTTTTGTGTTTCATAAACCTATGGAACACTTTGCTTTATGCTGTAGGTCCTAGCTGATGATGAGAAGAGGAAGGTTTATGACAGGCATGGAGAGGAAGGACTGAAAAATATGCAACAAGGAGGTGGTGATGGTTTTGATCCTTTTTCAAGGTACATTGTTTTGCGTGATGAAGAAAGATCTTATTCTTTTTCTCATGAGCATGGCACAACGATAGAATTTCACTTTTCTGGAAGGAATGGTACCTTGGACCTGTGATTGTAGCTTCTGTGCTCCAATGCTCTTCCATTAAGTCACAGAGCACCAAGGGTTTTTTCATTTCTTCCATGCTCTTTCTGTACTCCTTAACCAAACTCAAAACTTACCTTATTTTGTTCTCTAGTTACTGTTTATTATTATTTTTTTTATTTGAATTTTCCTTGTTATTCCACATCTCACCCTATTATCAATTTTTCCTCAAGGTAATAAATATATATAATTTATTATTATTATTGAGAAAAGACATGTGGATTGTAAACAAAATCATCAGCTAGCAAGCCTTCCCTGGCCACTTTTCTTAACTTTAATCCCCAAGGGTGACTAGCTTTTCATTTCTGTTTACAGTATCACCTTTTCTTTAGATGTAAAAGTTGTGAAAATAAAGTAAAAGACTTGCCAATTTTGGAACCTTCTGATTGTCAAACAAATTCTCCTTGTCAGTACCACAGAGATTGTAAAGAGAACAGTTTAGAAAGCATGGATACTAATGTTTGGTTATTAAGGGTGAACACATGTAATGTTACTTCATTTGAGGCATTGTTTTGACCTCGACTGTTTATAATCTTGACTCAGTCATCTTTACTTTTAGCTTCTTTGGAGGGTTTGGTTTTCATTTTGAAGGATCACAACGTGGGGGTGAAAGGGAAGTCCCTCGTGGAAGTGATATTCACATGGATCTTCATGTCACATTGGAAGAGCTCTACTCTGGAAACTTTGTAGAGGTTAGTGAAGAATTCAACCCTGTTAATACAATAAACATATTTTTATACAAACTTGACGTTTACATGTACTGGATTGTTGATACAGGTCTGATAAAGCAATTATGAGTACAGTGGACAGTTACAAGTTAGCAAATCCCTGCCACAGAGAATGTTAAATTACTAGGTTTTAATATAAGTATTCAGTGAATTAATCTTAATCCTAATATCAGTCCTTCAGATAGGCAGTTAGGCAGTCAATAGTCATTTGCTCTGACAAAGGGCTAACACTTAAAATGTCAGCTTTGAAATTCTATACGATGGCCAATTTAGTCATCAACTCATTTGATGATATCAAATTACCCAGTCAGTCAGTCAGTCACTCAGTTAGTTAGTCAGTCAGTCAATCAGTCGGGTATAGTCAGTCACTCAGTTAGTTAGTCAGTCAGTCAATCAGTCGGGTATAGTCAGTCACTCAGTTAGGTAGTCAGTCTCTCAGTAAGGTAGTCAGTCAATCAGTCAGTCAGTCACTCAGTTAGTTAGTCAGTCAATCAGTCAGGTATAGTCAGTCACTCAGTTAGGTAGTCAGTCAATCAGTCAGGTATAGTCAGTCACTCAGTTAGGTAGTCAGTCTCTCAGCAAGGTAGTCAGTCAATCAGTCAGGTATAGTCAGTCACTCAGTTAGTTAGTCAGTCAATCAGTCAGGTATAGTCAGTCACTCAGTTAGGTAGTCAGTCTCTCAGCAAGGTAGTCAGTCAATCAGTCAGTCAGTCACTCAGTTAGTTAGTCAGTCAATCAGTCAGATAGTCAGTCAATCAGTCGCAGGTAATTTTGTTCATCTGTCGGACAATCAGTCAGTCAGGGAGGCATGAATTTAAATCCCATCAAAGCCTTAAAGTTTCTGGGCTTCTTTTCTGCAATTACCTGAATTGAAGTCCACCAGTAAGGATCATTTATTTACTTGATTTTCATTTGCAGATAAAGTGAAATTTGTTTCCTTAAAATTTCTAGGCAGTCAGGCAATCTGTCCTAATACAGTCAGTCAGTCTTTATGCAGTCCATCATTCAGTCATTTCAGAGGTGAACTGATTGATCATTTGTTCACTGTCCACAGGTTTTACGCATCAAACCAGTCACACAGACAGTTCCTGGCACAAGAAAGTGCAATTGTCGGCAAGAGATGAGAACAACACAGTTGGGTCCTGGAAGGTTTCAGATGTCACCAGTGGATATCTGTGATGAGTGTCCTGCTGTAACTTATGTCACTAAAGAAAAAATTTTAGAAGTTGAAGTGGAACCTGGAATGAGAGACGGACAAGAATATCCTTTTGTTGCAGAGGGTAAGGACTGGAACAGTTTGAATTTGATATTACTGATTGTGCTGAGGTTGTTTCTGAGATTGCTTTGATCAGCAAAGCAACAAATCCACAAAATTTAAAATTTAAACATGAGCTTGTTAAAGTATAATACTGAAAAAGCTCTGTACATGGTTCCATTTTGCTACTAATTTTTAATCTCCTCTACCGTAGAAATCAAAGGAATACAAATGATTTCAAAATAATCAAGCAACTACTGTTTGAACCAAGAACAAAATTGAACCACAGCATCCACAATTCCTCCCTTTTTTTCCTTTTTGAAGTTTAACTTTTTTGGGTCCAGTTGCACCATTAATCTCCTGAGAAGTCTCTTTTAAAGGAATGACCACGATTGTCTTTCAAATGATGCTTCTCTTTGTTAGGTGAGCCTCACATTGATGGTGAACCTGGTGATTTGAAGTTTATCATAAGAGAACAAAGGTACAACTAGATTAGGGCTGATTTTAACCCTTTAACTCCCATGAGTGACCAAGGCAGAATTTCTCCTAACAATATCAATACAATATCAATCAGATAAGTGATGAGAATAAAGAAACATATAAACTTGAGAATAATTAGATGATCCAACACTAAATTCTTAGAACTAACATTATAAGAACTGTATAGTTGACAGTAAGGAGAATTACAAATTTGAACTGGGAGTTAAAGGGTTAATGTTCTCAAGTTGTTTGGTATTTCTCTGTGAAATTAAAGGGGAATAACATTTTGTCTAAAGGGTTACCCAAGGCTTTACTCTAGGCACTCTTTCAAGTGATGGGAGTTATCATGACATGATGGTTTGTGTTCCTGGGGTATGTTGCTCAAAGTTCCCGGTAACTTAACAAGCCCATAAAGCTTTTCTGTTTTATTCAAAATGGGGTTTTCAAAAGGTTTGAAAATTGTACCAAAAAAAACTGTTAGCTAAAGAAACAAAGTGGACTGATAAGGTGGACCTCTCTATTCTTTCAGTTTTGATCTTAAGATTTAGCTTTGGGCCTGTTAAGTTCGTGAGACTTGCGAGAAACAGGCCCTTGGTCTGATCAAGAGGTCAGGGGGTTAAGCTGTGGGCAAGATGCTTAACTCCTACAATGCTCACCCCACTCACTCCACCCTGGGGCATATACTTTTACCTGCCAACTGTGTGGGAAATGTGACAAAGTAGGGGAAGGGAGGGAGGGTGGCGAGTGTTACCTACAATGGAGCAGAATCCCATCCAGAGGGGGTGGAAATACTCCAATTTGCTGAACCCTTTTAGTTGAGCTACTGGAAAATCTGATTGTTAATTCTCCCCTCTGGCTTTCACCCATTTTCTTTAAGTTTGTTCAAAGAATTTTGTGTTTGATCAAGAAAACTTTTGAGCATTCTCATCAGCTGTTTTCTGGTAAATGTATGGATATTATAGGGTGAAGTAACTTGTTTATCACTTCTGGGAGGGTAAGGGTTAATGACGTGGCAACTTGGATAGGACCCAACAGTATTGTCTGTGCAGTTTGTAAGCAGACTTTCGCTCTTGTGGTTTGCGGTGCAGCAATTTTAAAGAGTATATCACATCAACAGGCATGATAGATTTCAGAGAAAAGGAGATGATCTTTACACAAATGTGACTGTTGCTTTAATTGATGCATTAAATGGATTTGAAATGGATATTGACCATCTGGATGGTCACAAGGTTAGTTTATGGTTGAGCTTGCGAGTGGCTTCACACGAGATCTGTTTACATAAACATTAAACCAATCAGCCCTTAACACTTTCACTCCCAAGATCTTGTTATTAATTCCCCTTACTTTCTGCAATACAATTCTTGTTATGTTGGTCCAGAGAATTTGGTTTTGGATCAGCTAATAGTCCCCTAACTGATATTTTTCTTTTTCTCATCACTTGTCTGCTTTATATTGTATTAACATTGTAATGAGAAATTCCGTCTCGGTCATTCATGGGAGTTAAAGGGTTAAAAGGTTTTTCAAAGTTTTTCTAAGGTTTTTCTCAATGAAAATTGATGATAATTTGATTTCCAGCACTTTACAACCTACTCCTATGCCCTGAAAATAGTTGTCTTCTCTTGTTTGCCTGTAGTGTATAAGAATGAAAATTAAATGTCTATCACATCTTGATAAGACTTTTGATATTACACTTTGATAACAGTTTGATATTCAGCTATTTGTATCCCACCCCTTTGCACCACTGAGAGCCAATTGGATTGCAAGGATCACCAAAGATAACTGAAAAATAATTCTTGTGGCTTAAATCATAAGAAATGCACGTCAAAGAGCAGGGAGAATGGATATGGAAGGTTGATGAGTTTGTTTATCCATCAGGTGCACATTGTGCGGGAGAAAATCACATGGCCAGGAGCACGCATAAAAAAGAAAGAGGAGGGCATGCCTAACTATGAAAACAATCACGAGAAAGGGGATCTTTTTATAACATTTGATGTTGAATTTCCAAGAGGTGGCATGTCAGAAAGTGAAAAAGAAGGTAGGCTCTATTTCTACCATGAGAATTGATTAACCAAGAAACTAAAACAAGAGTATATTGGAGTTCCATTTTATTTGTTATTGAGATAACACACAGTTAACTGCTGCACCCCTGAAAATTGTAAAAAGTGTCCATCAGTTGAGCTGTCTGCCTTTGAGAATTATTCCCATAAGGGGATACTAGGGAAAATTAGGGTGGATGTCTGCTTACAGGAGAGTTAATTAACAGGGGTTAATGTACATGTTTTGTGGAAAAAAAAGAAAAGAAATGCACAGTGTATATAAATATATAGGGTTAGGTTAGGTTACACCACTATTCTGTTAAACCTGTATTTAGTGGTCAACTTGTATTAAGCCATTCCCCATGAGTAATTACTGAGTACAGGTTTGACTGTACATGTTGATGCAGACTGGCCTTTTTTGTATTGCTTCAATACCAGCTCAAAGAAGATAAGGATGCCATTTAACAAAAAAAAAACACTCTTTTATGTTAGACTATTGTATCGCTCATAAATTAGCAAATCACTAATTAATCTTCGTCTTTGTTTTCAGCTTTGAAGACCATCTTGAAGCAACAATCTCAACAGAAAGTTTATAATGGACTCTAACCAATTGTTGATAAAATAAGATTTTTCAATATAGGTAGTGTAACATTGTATTTTTCAAACTTTGCCTCCTTACAAAAGGCTTTTTAAAGTATCACAAAAGGATAAAATGTTTCTTGAGCTTGCACTTTTTGAATGAAATAACTTGCTTGACGAAATGAAAAAAAGTGCAGTTATTTAAACCTTTACTGGGTGATGTTTCCTAGTTGAGCTTGGGACAGATGATGTCTAGGACATCTTTCTGTTCTTTGCAGAAAGGAACAGGGAAAAAGAAGAGAAGTCAAATACTAACTCTCTGTTCCTTGTTGTCAGTAGGAGATCTCCCTCTTTTTTTCATTTAGAGAGAAGTTGGTGTTCTTTCCTGGTAACATTCCTTAATTTTGTTGAACAGATAAGTTTGGTGCTCTTGTCACCTCTTTTGGGATAATGTTGAGAAAGCTGCATTTCACCCCCTTTCTGGGAGGAGTGACAAGAGGGCACTGCTGTGGCCTGGGTTTGAATCCCGGACTTGATGTCAGGCTTAGGTTGAGTTTGTTGTTGGTTCTCATGGCAGGGTTTTCCAGTTTCCCTCCCTCCACAAAACTAACATTTCAAATTCCTATCGGACTTGGAAACAGTCAAATATCCACCACTAAATTCCATTATTATTATTGTCATTGTAAAAATTAAATACTTAGCCCAGGATTATACAGTCATGAGAATTCTGATGTGGAAGAATTGTTGGCTCTTTCCTTCTAACCCTCCCCAAGGCTGCATGTTGTAAAGAAAAGTATGAATTTCTTTCTATCTTGGTAAATTATCCATACAAACATTGATTTACAGTTCCCATGTCTTCAAAACACCCTAGCTATGGGTATTCCATGGTTGCCACAGGTCAAAGAAAAGATTAGGAAAATGAAATTTCTTCAAGATCTGGGAAAGTCCAGGAATTTCACTTTGATTCAGGGGAAATTTACATATTTGAAGGAAGTCAAGTGAAGTGAAATTTCAAGTCGTCAAGAAGTTGCCTATTCATCTTCTCCTGAACCTTTTCCTGGTGAAACATGGTGACACTTTCCTTTGTCATGTTGAGGTTACTCGTGTATGTTTTTGAGAACTATTGACATTTCCTGACAATCTTGTCCTTTCCCTTTGTAAAGAAAGTTCAACTTGGTTTGTGAATGTAATCATGCACATGTGTTTCAATTTTTCATTGTTTTAACATTTTCAATTCCTCAGTAAGTGTTGCTTTGGTAGATTTTTTTTATAATGTAATTCAATGACAAACTGATGTTAGGTTTCCAACTGAATCAGTCCACTTACCGTGTTACCCTAAAGAGCTATCAATGCATGTACACTGTATGTGACTTTATGTACACTTTTTGTGACTTGCTGGAAACTTAGGTTTTCAGGCTGAGGGTTGAGGTTGTAGGACACTATCAGAAGTCACTCGTGAAATAGTTAATATGGATGGTTAAAAAGGGAAATTTTATGTTTGTCTAAAGGAAAGTCAGGGAATTCAAAATCCAACAACTATGTGGCAACTATGGTATTATTTCAAAGATATGGAGAAGCACTGAATTTTATTGTTATTACTGATGTAAATAAAGTCTTGTGTTAAAAAAAGGGTCAAGTATAATTTGCTTCTTTGCTGGCATAGTTTCATGGTATTAAACCTTTACATCCTAACATCAAAATGCATCTTCTCCACACTCCTCTCTGTATACTCCCTAAGGTGCTGACAAGGAGAATTCATTGAACAATCAAGATCTTCATTAAAACCCAATAATTTCCTCTATCCTTGTGTCCTTGTTGTGTATTATTGTAAGGAGATATTAGATTCTCGTCACTCTTGGGGATCAAAATGTTAAGTAACCACTGGAATAGTGGATTAGGAGGGGTCATGATCACTTAAACTTATTTTTAATACACACAAATTACAATGCCTTCATCTTTAAATACCTAATGCAAGTCCTAACAGTTCACTCTTAAAATCTTGTACTATTCATAAAGTAAAGTCTGTATTCGAGCTTATTGGCCTACCCAGCCACAGCTTGGCTTTTTGAGTCAAAAAATCTTGTGCATAAATAGCCTGCATTGCTGGCAGTCTGTGATTTTGGGGGCAGAGAGAAAAATGAAAAAATTTTCTCTTCGCCCCCAAAATTGCAGACTACTAGCAATGCAGGCTAATGCATAAAATGGTAAGTAGTTTTTATAAGCAGAAATTTCTGCCATATCATTAAAACTTCCCCAAATCTAGCCCCAGGTTTCCATATCTTTCCCTGTCCTTTTAGGAACAAATTTCCCAACATATTGGATGAAACTAGAGTATTTGCGTGACACTGCCAGGCATCATGCCATCCACTAGACAAAATTATCCAGTTATTAATTCAATTTTTTACCTCTTGATATTAGTTGTAAGTAAATTTGAGAAGTTAAACAAACAAAAGCAAATTTCAATAGACAAACAAAAGCCAGTAATTGCAAAAATTCCCAATGATTTTCCCTTCTTTTTGTCTGTGCTTTGTTCACTGCACAGGCATAATGTGATCGTGCCTACACATCCACTACACAAAACACACAGATGACTCCCTGTGGTTTCAGTTGGTACTGTTCAGTGCATGCAAGCGATTCAAATTGTAATGCAGTTTTCTTTCTCTGACAATCTTCTATAGAATCCCTGGGTATTCAGAAATATCAAAGAAATACCAGTCGAAGAATTCTCAAGACAAATTAATCACAGTAAAGCCTGAAGTTAATCACACATAAGATTCTGTTCAAATACCAAAGTTTTCATGAGCTGAACTTAATTCACATCATGACCAACTCCTGTTCAAAAATATACAGCTGATCATTCCAACCATCTTGAAATGTTCCATACACAGTTTCTGGAAATAGCTACAGAAAAGGTTATAACTCTTGTATTTAGCTCGGCATATAAAAAAGTTTCGCATCTGACTCACAGCTGTTCCCTACCAGAGTCAAAATTTCCAACTAAAGCAGAAGAGCATAAAGCTGAGAATTTTACTTTCTAGCAACTCATGTTTCTACTGGACAAATTCTAAAGCAATTTGATTGTTTGATTTAGTAGTGATTTATTCCACAAATTTTGGGAATTTCACTGGCTAACAGCTCTTTCACTGGTGAAAAAGCTTAGCAATATTTACAAGAGGGAACATGACAAGAGCACCGATACATGACCCTATCTGTATACAAATACCACACCAAAATAATGCCCGTTTACCATGGTCACGCATGATTGTTGAGATGGTCAACTTAGTATAACTAATTAGAATGCCGCTGACAATACTAACAAAAATCTGGAAACAGAGAAGAAAAATAAGAATTAGAAAACAAGTTAAATTAGATAAAAATACAGGGCCAAATAATTCCTTATCTACAATCAGCAACAAAATTGTTGACACTTAGACAATTTAAGGTCCCCATTTTTTTTCCAATTTTATCTCTTTTGCTCTCAGTAAGCCAACCTATTCATCCCCCCCTCCCCCTAAAACAATGTTGTATTATGATTTTATGAACTTTTTGGGGAGGGAGGGTCTTGTCAATGATTTAGAGTGTGGTAAAAACAGGAGTATTATTCTACAAATAAATAGCACTCTTCAAACATGATGTGTCAACTAATTTTGAGGCTGATTGTAGGTCTGAGAAACACCTACATGTGGTGGTAGAGCATCAAAGCCTGAAATCAAAAGGTTTTGATTCCTCATGGGGACAAAAAACTTTTTTGTCTATCACCTGTGAAAACCATCTCTACCATCTTCCTTATTCTACTAGCTCTTATGTATCTTTTGACTTGGTTTATTTTACATGTTTCAGAGAATGTTCAGACAACTTTCAGACAGTTCACCTTTTTAACCCCTCAACTCCCAAGATTGGATTGTTAATTCTCCCCTCTAGCTGATACACATTTCCTTGTAAATTAGTAACAAGATTTTGCTGTTTGATCAAAATAACAATTTCTACCTGGTAAGTTTGAACATTCTCATTACCTGTTTGCTGAATAATGTATGTATATTATAAGAAGTAACATGTTAATCACCTCTTTGAGTTAAAGGGTTAAACCACTAACATGCAAGATTCAGTGAATCATCATTTTCATAAACTTACCACTATCAAGCTCCCAACACTTGTACCATGCATGGGCGGTGTTGGGCTCATGGCTGCAAGGATGATGATGTATGTGCTGAGGACTGTATACACACTTGCCAACACTGTAACTAGTCTGGAAGATGTTGACGGAAACCATAAGGCAATGAAACAAGTCAATGCGCTCGCTATATTTGACAGTGTGGCAACTATGGAGAGACAAGATATGTACTGTCAAGATGCTAACTTATTCCTGGTTTTTTTAATTAATTAACCTTTTCACTCCCAGAAGTGATAATCATATAACTTAATTCTCTCTATAACATCCAAACAATATCAAGCAAACAGGTAATGAGAATATTCAAACTTACCACATAAAAATTGTTGTTTTCTTGATCCAACAACAAATTCTTGTAACTAATTTACACAAGAACATGTAACATCTGAAGAGGAGAATCAACAATTAGATCACATCTAAACTCCCAAGATCTGATTGTTCATTTTCCCCTCTAGCTGATCCACATTTCCTGGTAAATAAGTTCTGAGAATTTGGTGTTATTGGTGTTATAACAACTCCTACCTGATAAGTTTGAATATTCTCATGACCTATATGCAGGATAATGTCTAGATATTATTGAGAGAAGTTACTTGTTAATCACTTCTGGGAGGGTTAAATAAAGCACGACTAAATCTCTTTCAGAAGGAAGAGTGATTAACTAGTTTTTGTGCCTCATACTCTACTGTACTGAGTGAAGTTGTAACACGGTATACTTTATTAAATAGTGACAAAAATAAAGACTTGCCATTTAATTATTTCACACGAAAGAAATGGGAATATTAGGCTTGTTGTTAAGCATCAATTAGGCGTAATAGACAACTAAGTGTAACATCACTAAGTGTCCAACATGACCAGTAACATAGCACAACAAGAAATTTACTTCTACCAAAATGGCAATGGCTCGCGCTAATAAGTTCTTTATATGGCCTCGTCTAGCCTTCTAAAAGTTATTTATATGTTTCGAGAAAAGACTTTACCATTAGATGAACAGACTTAGATGAAAATTTTTATGGATGAAAAGACTTGGACGAAGAGACTTTTGGACGAAAAGACCGTAATTCATGAGATCTTACGAGTGAAAGGAGTTCATTATTCATTTTTTACCTAAATGGTATGTCTTGTTGCCATAGGGAATACTGGCGTATGCTTGTATCGATGGCAAGACACCATTGGAAAGGCAGTTTATCCAAGTTTGAATACAGAGCAGAAGTAATATGTGACGTTCACACCAGGAGAATGTATCACTGTTGACAGATTGGTGACTCAAGTAAGAATCTTGAGGAGAAACGTCACTTGTTGATGTAGACTGAAATCTACTTCTTGTAGTATCATCGAAAAGTGGCTGTGTTGAACTGTTGCTGTTTCTTCGTGTTTTAATTTGTTTTTGTCTGACATGTTGTCTTTTGGCCACTGGTAAATAATTCAGCGCCAAAAAGGCTATCCCACAAATAACCATGATTGTGAACAAAAAGAAGAAAAATACCTCTGGTGAAAACCTTGATTGGGGAATTAAGTGGGTCTTGTGATCAGTAGTGTTTTTGCTGCTGTTTGTACCTCCATTTTCAATGCCCTGGGCCAAAGCTACTAATGATGGCAGCAAACCACTCGAGGTTTCACCAACAAACAACGCACTCATATAAGTTGATGGGAAAGTAGACATGAACGTGAGAAATACCAAAGAGGATGTACAATCAACTAATGCCAGCAAGAAGGATAAGATAAAAAGAACTGTGCTGTGTTGTTTGCCACCAATAGAGCTTGTCTCGTCCCAATAAAGACCCAACAACGCGCACGCTAAACACCCAATCGCCACAATAGAAAGAATCGTCGTTTTTTCGTGAACGATGCGAGGAGCGAAGCGGTTCCCCAAGGCGTAAATCACGGGGCCGATGTTCGCCAACTGAATGATAACTGTGAGATACGATGGAAGGCTCCACTGTTCTGGGGCATATCCCACAAGCACAGGCAATTCAACCCACAAACCATTGACAGCTACCCAGGAACCCAGGCCAAATAGACAGATTAGAACGTACGTGGTCCAGGAAATGTTCTTTCTCAAGCAAAATGAGTTCCATTCTGTGCTTCGAATGAAAGCTTGTCCCTCTGCCATTTCGCAAGTTACCGGTAACTCTTTCAGAAGAGAGTTACATAATCATGTACTAATACTGGATCTGGAATATGCCCCCTTTCCCATCGTGACCCAGTCTCGAGCCCAGGGCCATTTTGGCATTATTTTGGTTTAGCGATCATACCGCTGACAAGGAGCCAAAATGACCCTGGGCTACCTTCCTTGAAGACAATTTAGCATTTTACACTAGTTACTGATTACTGGGATACCTGTGGTAGCCCAGTCATAAAATGCCTTTGTTTTTTTGTCGTCTTTTTTTTTTTTTTTTCCTCCGCCACAAAATGGAAAAATTGCGCAATAGTACCCAGTGGTCATTGGGCCCTCAACACCATGACAACTAACTGTGATCCAATGAGGTGTTCACATGCTGATCACGCGTGTTATCTTGATGATGATTGACGTTGTCATGCACAGACAGGGCTGGGTCACATGACGAATCACGAGATTTTTGCTTATAAAACTCTTTGGTCAGTTATTTTGTACTTCAACGTGTTTGGATTGCGACCTCCTGAAGCATCATGGCGTAAAAACGCGCATAATACTTACAGACACATATACAAGTCGTATTAATCGCGGCTAATCCACACTACTAAAAGATGTTATTGAGCGGTAATTTTGGAACGGATTGAGTCGCGAACGCTTGAAAGCCATGAAAGCTTTGAATACCTTGTATGCTACATATGCTAATGTCTTAATTGAAAAACGTTCACTTGTTGTAAAAAGCAAAATCTGAAATCTGAAATCTGAAACCAAATTGTATATACTCTATGCAATCTATTGAACAACACTACTACCGTGAGACTGAAGAACATAACTATAATGGATGCAAACTGCTTGTGAAGAAAGACGACATGTTGGATTCACTTGATGGCAAGGAACGTAGCTACGATAACAGTACGAATGGTATTAATTTCACGATCAGAAAGGTGAATCTTATGTTTGTTTTCATTGTAGTTGTATGGATATTCTTTTTTAATAAATACGTGATCCAAAACCCTGTGTTTTTTTGTGTATAATGTTATTATGTTAAATATTGTTTACGCAATTGTCTTGTCACAGGCGGCCCAAGCTCACGTCTCGAGAAAAAGCCAACGATTAATTCACGCGTTGTGTGACTCGGTGCTAAGTTACGAGAGGAACTGTTGGAAATTTGAACACGTTATAAGGAACAGTATAGGGAACGAAGTATGGTCGATTTACAACGATAAATATTTCGAAATATGAACATTTTTCTCGTAAAAATCAATAAAACTTACTCATACCCTGTGTATCCGTTGTATTTTCTGGTGATTTCTGCTGTTTTAAGCTTGCTTGCTTTACCATCACTGTTATTCACGTCATCTACTTTTATTATTTATGACATGTTTTATACCAGACATAAAAACTCTTCAGATTCTTAGTCTGCATTTTGTACCCACTCTGCAGTCTGCAGTCTATATTTTGTATACAGTCTGCAGTCTGCTGTCTGCATTTTGTACTAACAGGTATCCGTGGCACCAATACAGTTTATTTTTACTTACATTTATTCGCAAAACACACATAATCTACCACAAAATACCTGTGGGTGAGGTAATTCGACATTTTCGTTCATTCCCACATTAATATTCTTCTCTCCTTTTGTAAGAATGTAGACATCACTCACAATGTTTCAAGTAATCCACCCACCCTACAAAAAAGTAACTCTTGCATGCATAGCATGCCTATGTTTTGAAATAGGTGAATGCCCTTTGCCAGACTTGAGCGCACTATTTCAGTATACTAGTCTGACACCCGTAGTATCACTACACTTGATTCCAAGGATCAAGTACCATCCAGGTATCCCAGTTACCTTGCTCACAGGGTCTAGTTCGAATATAGAAGCGATCCTTGCAGCCATTAACACTAATGAACTAGTTGTTGAAAAAATGCCTGAAAAAAATTCAGGCCCGTATGCCAGTACACATTTTTATATATTTACAGCCATTTTTCATCACTTGGAAGGTTTACTTGGATCCAACATAACGATCACCTCCCAGTTAGCTTCTAAGTTCAGTTGGTAGAGCGCTGCATCTGTATCGTAGAGGTCATGGGTTCAAATCCCGAGCGGGCATGAGTTTCTTTTCAGGCCTTATTTCAACTTTAGTTCAGTAGTGTTCATAGGTGCGAGGATCGCTCCTATATTCGTTTCTTCAACCGCAGTGCACATATATGATTTTCATATATTTACAGAAAGTTATTGATTCGTTGTGTTAGATTGCATGAAACACCATTATTTGGTCGAAGGAGAGACTCTGGTGACGACTGCCGATGTACAGTTCTGAAATGTCTTAAAAATGTAAGGATTTAATGTGGAAGCGACCCTCGTAGTTATGAACACAACTTAAGCAAAAGTAAAAATAAGGCCTGAAAACAAATTCAGGCTTGTGCGGGATTTGAACCCATGACCTCTGCGACACTGGTGTAATTTTGTTCATAACTGCGAGGATGCTTCCGTATGCAGTTCACATATATGTAAGGATTTGTTGAAGAATCAACGGTCTCATTCTTAAACAAAACTTCTGAACAACTTTCGAATGAAAACAAACTGACCTCGATTTTGGGTTCGTTCTTCAACATTTTCAGTTATTTAAAAGGCTGATTTACAGCCGTTTAACTCGTACCTAGTCTCCTTGATCTAAAATCACCTTCTTCGTTCGGCTCGGTAGTTAGTACCCTTTGGTCCGGCAGATGGTATCTTGTTGGTGTTATCGAGTGACGTGTCGTGAAAAAATAAAATAAAATTGGTTAAAACGTAACCACGAAAAAAAAAGGGAAAGGAAAAAGTCAGACCTTTTGAAAGAACTTGTATCCAGTGCTTTTCCGCTTGATCGCACAATCGGTTGACTCACGTGACCCGAAGATCCGAGGCGCCTTCGAGCACCACACCGAGGTGATATAAGGAGAGGGAGTAAAACGCAAATTTCTTCAGTCGCAAATAACTATGTAACCGAGCATATTTTTTTGAGAGAGATACCATTCAAGTCAGGAGAGAATCTGTTTCAGGTATAATCCTTCGGGGGGGCCAATAAAGATTAAAAACAAAACTGGCATTTCGTTCTCTCTCACAATGTTCAAACAAAGAAGAAGAATCATGATATCAGTCTATCTGTCATTTTTGTCACAGTCAGTGGGCAGGTTTTAAAAGTGCTTAACCGTGAGACTTCGCAATTGGTGGCTACAATCATAACGCTTCTTTTTTCATTATTTTATTTGACCCCGAAAAGCAATGCAACATCGCACTGAGGTTAATTCTATAATGAAAGAAAGGCCTTTTCCTCATTTTGCACAGCGCTCCTTTCACCCACTGGAAGAAATGGAATTCTCGATTAAAGGGTAAATGTATGAAAAGATAACAAAGAAGATGATTCAAAGAAAGGCATAAAAAAATATTTAAGGAAACGGTCATTTCCAATGATGTCGGGAATCTCAAGGTATTAAATAACCACACTATAAATGGATATTGGCTGCGTAGTTTAGTTATAACACCTAACCAGTTCACAGAGTTGGACGACTTCAAAACTTTCACGCTCTGTGCTATTTTAAACTTGGTTTCCACATCCCTGATGATGTTATATTACTATGTGTCCGACAATATCTTCGTTCACTGAAATTTCCTCTGAATTCGACTTCAATTTCTTCTTAAGATCTCAGCTTCCAATGACTTCACTTTATGACAAAGAGGCTGTTTTGTTAATCCAAGAAAGTAGTGGTGAGGTATGTATCATTTGGGGTCTTTTACAGGGTAGACGTACTCGACAACCTCCTCTCCCAAAGCATGTGCATCGATGTCTACAACAGGGACTAAAAACAACAAATTGATCAACGATATCTGACGGACATAAGACGTCTTTCTAGAGTAGACAAATTCTATTTCGTCCACACCGCAGGATGCATGCGTGCCAACAAGTGACCTTTAGGCAGGAAACAGGAATGGTTAAATGCGAAGAAGATTAACGAAGATTGTCAACCACTACTAAATAAAAATTATGTACGCACGAATAAGTTTGGTAAGATAGAAAAACACAAGAGAAGCAATGATTCACCAAGAAGGTACAAGGATGGCTGAAAATGGAGAAGATTGGACCGGATTGTTAATGACTACAAAATACTAGTTTGGTAAGATAGAAAAACACAGGAGAAGCAATGATAAACCAAGATGGTATAAGGATGGCTAAAAATGGAGGAGATTGGACCGGATTGTAAATGACCACAAAAGAATTAATTGGTAAGATAGAAAAATACCAAAGAGACAATAATCAAACTAAATTGAGCAAGGATGACACAGGATGGATGTCGAACTTGGAAAAAATGGTGATCAATTCTTCAAGAATCATGAACGGTGACACATTTCTCCATAAAACTTACTTGTCTGGGGTTCAACTGGCGATCGTGATCGGGACCTACTTCTGTGTCTTCTGAAACAAGTTCAAAGAGTGGCAAAGATCAGATACCAAATACAAGTCTATTTCATGGCAGAGGACTTTTGGATCTGTTCATAAGAGACGGAAACTATGATCACAACAGCCAATCAGAAAACAGGAAATCGAAGTCAAAACAGGTAAAAGCGTGGGAAAACGCAAATGGTCAAGTCGCCATCGGTGTTAGTTTTGCATCTGATTGGTTGAGAAGTTGGCGCGAGTTTTCTGGACCAATTACAGAGCGTAGTAAAGCAACTCTCTACCGGAAACTGATCAGAACGTCAATATTATTAACAGAGTAGGAGAAAACAGTCACCCTTTGTGGCTAATTTTCAGCTGCAAAAAGAAATAGCGCCACCCAGGAGCTGGATAATAGAAAAATTCTTCATATGGGTGATCAACATAACCTGAAATTGTTTTGGCTTTACTCTGCCCAATCAATCAAAACAGAAGGCAAAATCAAATACGACTTTGTAACACGCGTTTTCCCGCGGTTTGCGGGGATTGGTTGTTTGAAGTTGATTGATTCTCATTGATTCCTTGGGTAATTTGCCTTGGTTTTAATTGGTCGTTGCTATTAGTTTGGGTTTGGTTTTGCGACACTCAATTGAAATCAGAAGAAAAAA